GAATAGGAGGCACACATGGTCGCTATTTCCAAGTCCTGGCAGGAAGTCAATGTTTGAAATGATGTCATCTCTATTAGTTAAGAGGAGGTCAAGCAGGTTTGGTGTTTGGTTCTCTCTGTATCTAGTGCTCTCCTCTACATGTTGCGTTAAGAAGCAGTCCTCTATTGCATCTATGAAAGCTTCTTCTGATTTTTTTGGTGTAGTGTGGGTTTCCCAGTTGATACTAGCATAGTTGAAGTCACCGGCAATCAACAGATGAGATGCCTGCAGTTCCCATGCTTTGCAAATGAGCTGGCATAGCTTTGTATTGTTCTCCTTATCACTGGAGGGGCTTCTGTAGATGCATCCCATCACAAGTTTGTCGTTTCCTCTCAGTTTCATGGTTACCCACAGGTTTTCCTCAAAGTCATGCAAGACTTCACTTCCATCAACTAAGTTAGCCAAGGTGTCAGTGATGTAGATTGCTACTCCTCTCTTGCCTAGTCTTCCAATGTTGCTGTGCAGTGTAAAGCCGTCAATCTTTATGTCGTTCTCTGTCACCTCGTCTCGTACATTTTTGGGAAGGACTTCAGTTACGAGCACAATATCAACGTTGTAGACAGAGCAGAAAACACTCAATTCATTTTTCTTGTTCATAAGTGAGTCACAGTTTGTAGACATGACCTTCAGTTTCCTCTTAAGGAAGGGTTTGGGTGTAGGTTGCAAGTCCAAACTTGGGTCCTCGCTGTCAGTCGATTCAGTCTCAATATCAGAGCCTTCACTACTGCTTTCCTGACTACTGAATGAAGAGGTATCATCTCCGTCCTCACCATCAGCAGTGCTTGATGTTTCATCAGCTGACACTCGCTCTACTATGTCGCCACTATCTAGTAATACGTTCACGTTAAATTCTCCACCATCATTTCCATAGTTATTCATTAGTGCTGACATCACTGGTAGTGAAGTGTTACCTTTCGTAGCACCCTTGGAGGAAGCAGTTCCGTGGTCAGCAAGAGAATTGCTATGACACCTGGGTGTTCTTTGCTCATGATTGTTTGTATTAAAACTCCTTGTCATCTCTAATTCTTGAATTTTCTCTTTAGCACAGTATCTCACGGTCATGTTTACAGGTTTCTCTATAGCTCCGACAACACTGACATGTGTTTTTCTCCTCGTACTCTGGTTTTTCTCTACTGTAATGCATGCCGTTTCCTTGTAGTGAGTTTCTTTACTCGTATTTCTCAGCTCACAGTCATAGCTTTTATCCATCTCTTTGCCACTTGGTTTAGGAGCTACTTGGACTGCACATAATCTTTCTTCCACGTTCTGTATTGGTTGGATCTCTTTCTCCTGTCTATTTCTACCAACTGTATTGCTTCTAGTCTCTCTGTCATGGCTTGGGGAAGAGTGAGCATCTTTTCTTGTGTCTCTCATCTCGTAGTCATAGTTTGTCTTCACCACTTTGCTGCTAAGTTCTTTATTACCTGCATTATTTCTCTCAGAGCTATCATGGATTGGGAAAGAGTGCAGATGGCGTCTGTCCATCTTGTCATTACTACAAGGATTTCCCCTGATTTTTTCATTCTTCTCTCTCCTCATCTGGTTCCACTCTGCTCCTCTTTTGTCAGCTCCTTGGATCTCTATGCTGTTTTCTTTCCTTTTAGTCTGCCTTTTTTCAGCTGCTATACTCTGTCTTTGTAGGTTTATGACATTTCTGATCTCACTAAGGTTAATGGAGGTAGCAGATCTCTCCACTCCATATTCATGTACATCTACTTGAACGTCAAGTTTCCTTGGTCGGCTTCCCTTGTCTGTAATGACAATGATTTCATTCACTTCAATGCTATTTGCGTCAAGGACCTTGCACATTTTCTGACTTCTTTGCTTCATGTCACCATCTGCTGTTGGTTCCTGTCTTTTGCTTGGTGCATTGTTCTCAGGTCTATTGTAGTTTCTTTCTTCCACTAAGTTGATGTCAATCTGTTTAATCTGTTGCACAGACTTAATTACACTGTGCATACAATATGTTGCTGTGCTGTGCAGGCCTTCTCTGTGTCCCCTTTCGGCAGGACCACTGTTTGCCCCGATCTGTCTACAATAGGCTTCATCTTTATCTGTATCATTCCTCTTAAGTGCTTGTGTCTTATCATCTTCACTGATCTTTGTAGCCACTTTTGTTCTTTCCTTTTCTACCTCAAGATATAGTGCCGTTGGTGCAGTGCTTTGCTTGGTTTGGGTGCACACTTTCAAGAACTTAATCAATGATTAGGACAGAAGAATCCAATAATTAGCCATGCATGTATGTCTTGACATGGTAAATAAGTAATTAATGTTCTGAATTAAAATAAAATGCAAATCAAAATGTAACAAAAAATGCAATGATAAATAAAGCATAGAATTAAAATGAACAACATGGAACTGGAAGCCTGTTTCTTCATGTTCTTCAAGACATTTGGGTAGTAGTAAAGGTATTAAAAGATAAAGATAAATAAAAGTATTGAAGGCTAGACCTAGATCTATATCTAATAAACATTTAATTTATCCATGCAATCCAAACCAAACTCAAAACCTCAATTAGCCGACTTGAATTGACATGATTGAGAATGATCAGAAGTTCAGTCTCAGATTCAAGAGTAGACCCTACAGCTGTAGATCTAATTAAGTTTCAAGTTTCAAATTTTATTTATCTTTCTTTCATAACACACATTATAAATATGACATAAATATAAAGGAGTAAACAGAATATGGCGTTACAATAGAAAGATGAGGTGACCTTGGTTGAAAGCAAGGCTTGTGGATTTAAGGTCCTTCATGAGTAGTTTAAGAGTATGTCCTAAAAGAACAAACTCGTCAAAAAAAAATAATGCGTACATTTAAATGCTTACAAAGCTAAACTAACTAAACAACTGAGAAAATATTAAACATAAATAAGTACAATAAAATCTACTGACTACTAAATAATGGCTATAAATAACAGGAACAGGAATATACTACGAGCAACAGGACTGAAACACAGACAAAAACTAAACAAGACAGACAGATGAATAGATGTGAGAAACGGGAGTAGAATTATGCTGACCTATAATAGCAAATAGTTTTCTTAAATATTGATCACACCCAGGACCAAAATCCAGTTGAAACCAATTGGAGCAAAACCAATTGAAACCAGTTGCCAACTGGTTTCAATAGGGAAATTGGAACAACTGGTTCCAATTGAAACCAGTTGCCAACTGGTTCCAATTGAAACCAGTTGAAACCAATTGCCAACTGGTTCCAATTGAAACCAGTTGAAACCAATTGCCAACTGGATCCAGTTGCCTAATTGGTTTCAACTGGAACAAGTTGTTCCAATTTCCCTATTGAAACCAGTTGGCTTCAACTGGTTTCAACTGGTTTCAATTGGTTTCAATTGGATCCAATTGAAACTTACAGTAATTGGCATAAACTTAATTAGTTATAAGTTAATTAGCTCTTGCACTAATTATCGCTCATGTCAACACAGAAACATTGTTATATGTGTCTACATTAAGTACAATGTAAAGGGCATTATAATATGCAGACCATATAATATCCTTAACAAGGAAGGCATTGCCATTATATATGTTTGTAATTGATGTATTTTGTACATGGTTAGTGTTTTACTCATCAACTTTTAATCTGTGTAATTACAAAAATATGTTACTAATGAACATGCTTATCATTGCTAATTAATCTTTATATTTATCTAAAACAAATGCATTACTTGCAAATGAAAATTAATTAATAAGTACATTGTAAATCAAAATAAATTACATAAAACATTGATCTGCACACAAGCATATAATATGCAAATTAACTGGTTTCAATTGGATCCAGTTGGGTAACTGGAAATATTTTCAATTGGAACCAATTGGGTAACTGGAAATGAATTCTAACTGGAACCAGTCGGGTAACTGGAAATTATTTCTAACTGGAAATGAATGCTAACTGGAACCAGTTGGGTAACTGGAAATGATTTCTAACTGGAACCAGTTGGGTAACTGGAATTAAATTCTAACTGGAACCAGTTGGGTAACTGGAAATGACTTCTAACTGGAACCAGTTGGGTAACTGGAAATGACTTCTAACTGGAAATGAATGCTAACTGGAACCAGTTGGGTTACTGGAAATGAATTCTAACTGGAACCAGTTGGGTAACTGGAAATGAATTCTAACTGGAACCAGTTGGGTAACTGGAAATGACTTCTAACTGGAAATGAATGCTAACTGGAACCAGTTGGGTAACTGGAAATGACTTCTAACTGGAACCAATTGGGTAATTGGAAATGAATTCTAACTGGAACCAGTTGGGTAACTGGAAATGACTTCTAACTGGAAATGAATGTTAACTGGAACCAGTTGGGTAACTGGAAATGAATTCTAATGGAACCAATTGAGTAACAGGAAAATCATCTTACTGTTTCCAGTTGAACTTCTAACTGGAACCAGTTGGGTAACTGGAAATGACTTCTAACTGGAACCAATTGAGTAACTGGAAAAATTACCTTACTGGTTCCAGTTGCACTTCTTATTGGTTTGAACTGGAAATGAGTACCCATAACAATATTTTCCAGTTCGGCAATTGGTTTCAACTGGAAATTTTCTATTCCAATTGAAACCAATTGAAACCAATTGAAACCAGTTGAAACCAATTGAAACCAGTTGGAGATTTCAACTGGTTTCAATTGGATTTTGGTCCTGGGCAACTATAAATCTAGACGATATTATTGTTCGACTCAGTTTGGCAATCGATCACCTCTACCTTACCCTTATTTATTCACCTGTGCTACAACAAATAAAGCCTTTATTTGTTTGTGATATAATTTCTGCAAATGCGTCATTTGATTTACATGTATGATGATGTGTATAAACAAAAGCCGGCCGAGCCCCCGACACACCCCCACTCACGCCCATTCAAATACACACACAGGCGCAGGCCTAGCCTACACATTTTCAGTGAAAGTTTTACGCATGCTTGCTGCGTCAGCCACCCGGCTTCGTACCATTGGAAAAACAAATCCATCGTTGTAGTCCGTGTGCTCGCCGATGAGATTCACTCGTCCAGGGGCACATCCCGCCACGGTCGGTTTCTCTCCAAATTTCCCCTCAAATGCCGAGCTTGCCTTGCTCAGTAATTCAGAGATGGTTTCTACAACTGTGATGCCGTTTGTTGCCATTGTAATTTCACTTGCCTGTCTCGAGTAATCTATTGTTTTTTGCTATAGAAAATAGTGTCTCGATCTCTTGTAGTCTTGAGTCTCGACGTGTCAGCTCTTTGCTGTGATATGGCACCGCTGAAAAACATACAGAATAGTTGCATGCATAAATTTCGCTGCGATAGCATTCTACGTTCATTGCATTCATGAGCGAGCGCACCGGATTCGTTGATTTCGTCATTATTATTGTAAACATACAAGTTACGTTCGCTTGTTTTATGAATGGGTAAATACAAATTTCCCACGGCAGGTCGCGTTCACTTCGGGATTCCATCTTTTTTTATCCTTTCTTTACTCTCCCTTTCTTTCTTTCTTTCTTTTTTTTTCTTTCCATCTTTCTCCTTCATTTCTTTCTTTCCTTTTTATTTTCTGTTTTCTCTTTCTTTCGTTCTTACTTTTTCGTTCTTCTTTTTTTCTTCTTTGGGGATGTCTTTACAATTATGTTTCCCCAAAACAAAAATATGCGCCTAACATTTATGTTAATATGTAGATCTAGGCTATATTTTTGTGCAGGTATTATTCTAATTGTTTTCTTTTGAAAAAATGCCAAGAAAAAAGCTAATGACTAAAACATATATCAGGTTTATCTTAATTGTAGAACTAAAAACAAAAAAGTCCACTCACATTAGAATATGAAGTCATTTTGCACAGCATGATGATATATATTCCCCCCCAATATAGCTGACCTATCTAGTCGGTCATTTTCTTTTTTCTTTTTTGTGTGTATCGATCATGTCTGGAAACAAGTGAATGAACCCTACACAAACGTCAAAACTAATAAAGAGCCTAGTTAATAAATGAAACCGAATTGAAAGAGAGGAACTCTTTACGTTATGCAATACGGCGTGGGGGCGTACCCCCTTTTATACCTTCCAAACAAACACAAAATATTCACATAAAATTCATGTTCAGCTTGCTCGTTCAAAACTGCCTCAGAATGTACCATATAGAGCTCGCAGTTTCGTATATTTCACGCTTTAACGATTCATCGATTTGAAGTTCCCCTCTTTAGAATCCCTTTCTTATATAGGTTAATTTTCCTTCTATAAAGAAGAAAAAAAGTTTTATTTCTTCTAAGGTTTCCTTGCTATCTCTGAAAGAAGATTCCTTACTTTGAAATCTCCCTATTCGGAAGATTCATTATACCCCTAAAAGATTTTTTTTTTCCAGAAATTTTAATTAATAACTACAAAATATTGTTTCAGAAAACTCAGCATAGGTCCGAAGTTTAGTCATTCAGATAGTTCGTGGTGCATACAATATAGCCATAGGCTATTATGTAGGCCAGGGCCCCGTCTTACAAAGAGTTGATATCAATCGCAACTGTACATAAGAGATACGAGACTGCAAACTTGCGATTGATTTGGATTAATCGTAAGTCTTTGTAAGACGGGGCCCAGGATTCTGAAGTAAAGTTACGTTTTTCCTGAGGATTCCCTACACCGTATGTAGTTTTCCCATTCTGATTTCTAAAAGATTCATTTTCAACTATGGCACTGTTGTATCTTTTTATCATAGAACCTTTATCAGCATAACTCCAATATATTTGGTTATTCATTATAATGTCCAAGTTTCGTTATTCCAAGGATTAAAGTATATTATGTTTATGAAGAAAATGATAATTCCGACGTTTCGTTAATCTGAAATTCGTGTCTAGTTCGATGTTTCAATGATGTTTTGAAATTTTCTGAATCTAAAATTAAAAACAACACTGAAGGTATTGGAATTACCCCTTCCCCGCCTCCTGATTTTGACTGCGGGTGACAACAATTATACAATTTGGCGCACTATAGATAGATGTATTGCATATTCAAGGGCGGATCTAGGGGGGTTCGGAGGTTTAAATTGTACAGAAAGTTACAGAACAAAATTATTGTATAATGAAGTATAAGATAAAGGATAATAATTAATCAAAAGTACATCTTAAAAGTACTGAATACCACAAGACAAAGAAGTTATAGAAATTTATAACAGAAAACAAGTTATTTAACTAAATCAGTAGAAATTTAATTTGATGACATGATGAGGTAAGTAGAATGATGAAAGCATCGACAGCATAGCAAGGTAATCAATTAAACATACAATGTATCATAACAATTATTTCACAATATCTAATAAAACTGAATTTTAATCATCATATATTCTTTGACGAAATCAGATACGGTACATACATTGACCAAAATCACTATTATCTCAAGAAAAATACAAAATAAATTCAAAAGATATATTCTATCATGTACTCATATCACGCTTGTGATTAGCACACTGCCAAGACTCCAATTGTAATACTTTTTAATACTTTTTAATACTTTTTAATACTCAATACTCAATACTCAATACTCAATACTCAATACTCAATACTTAATACTCAATACTTAATTACAATTTTTCCAATGTTACAGTTAACTGAATTCACGTATCTGTATACATTTTATTTGTTTATATGTCAACATTTATTCATTTTTGCTAGCAATATTTCATACCTTGTATTTTTTTTAAAATCTTTTTTTGTTGTTTTGTTTTCTTGTTACTACTTTAATGTTTTAACTTAAAAATGTATTCATTGTTATATATTTGTCCTCATTTGCTATGTTATCTTTATGTTTTGTAATGCTTTTTATATTGATGTAAACTTGCATTTTTAGTCTTCGGACTTGTTGACAAGTAATGAATAAAACCTTATTTGAACTTGAACTTGAACTATCATGTAAAATAGACAGTGGTCATATAATCTAAACTAAACTACCTCTGTTTGGTATAAAGTATGATAAGTGAGTTAAATTATAAGATTATTGGCAGCATAGTATTTCAACATATCAAACAAATGGCACATTCTGGAAAAAATTACAATTTATCATGTAGAAATGAATTTGATTCATCATTATTTAAGCATACAAATATGTGATGAAATTAAATATATCAAATATGTTTATTTTACTGGATGTATTATATCACAAACTCAAAAATGCATGTACATATTGCATATTTCTTTTATGAAAAAAACAATAGAAAATCACATTTGTATCAAATAAAAAATGTATGACAGTGCATTGCCTTGATAGATAAGCTGCATAGATTTCACATGATTTTAATATATATATATAAAATACATTTTTAGATTATTCTATATTTCAGCAGCAATAAGAATTCACAGATAAAGATCTTTTGGACAGATACACCATAACAAATCATAATCTTGGAGAAGAAAACAAAAATCAGATATCAGGATTTATTTTATAAAAATATTATTAAATTATAAATCTAGTTCCAGCTCAATTCTGAATTCTTGTTACCCCCTCTTTCAAAATCTTCTGATAATTCAACATATTATCCTAACACAGCACCATCTTCATACTTTTGGCAACAAATATAATTCTACCAACCTGAAAATCATCAAAAAGTTCACACATTGTCTCTTATAGAGAGTCAAATAATCTTATTCAAAAATATATAATTTCATACATCCATTTCAATCAGCAGCATGTTGTAATAAAAAATGAATCTCTGAAATTTGTGCATATAATTGTACAAAAATGTATATAACAAAACCCACAAATTTTCCATTTTGTTCATTCATGCTTCATGTTAATACAAGTCATACAGGTTATTAGGCTTATCAGGCAAAATGGGGGTTCAGTTCACAAACTTCACACAAACCTATGGCGAGCAAAGAGAAGCGGAACTGAACGCCATTTAAACCAAATGGATTTGTGTATATTAAAATTAGAATGACTTATCATTTTGAATTTTGCCAACACTGTTTCATTACCACCAATTAGGACCCCATTTTGAGATTAGATTTGAAGAACAAAAATCTGTAGAGATACATATATGAAACTAACTTCGTAATAGACCTTGTACATAAATTTAGTGAAACTTGATACCAATAAAGGAAATAGCTGATTAATCCAATAATGGCCACAGGGAAAAATACTACTTCGCAGACATGATTTATATTACGACACTGAATTTGTGTGGTATATAATATTGCATTGATAAAAATTGCACTTTCATCAAAAGTTCACACACTTCTTACTTGTATGTCTTTAAAAGATTATTGCTAGATTTGCTTGATATATATCAATAACATGTTCACAAGTAGAAACATATTTTGAAAGTTTGATACCCTACATCCTCTATTATAATTATATAGCTGTAATGCATTGAGAAAACTTATAAAGCTGCAAAATATCCATTAAGGCAAACTGAGTTAATCATATAACACTGCATACAAAAATTTGTCAATCAACGCATACCATTTCTTTCTGATTCTTTGAAACAAGGATTGCCAAACCATTATTTTTTTCAAACATTTCAAACATTATTTGATATGACATTTCTTCAAAAATTCATGAATTAAAATCACATTCATAGCCATAATCATCCTGTAATCTTTGCAAAATACAATCATCATCTTTAAATACACATTGGTTTCATGGCCATTTGAAAGACAACTTTCTGATTTTAAATATTACATGTATTAGACTTGATAATGATGTATTACTATGGATGGAATGTGCAAGTATGTGCATGTAAAACTAACTAATTGGAACATTGTCCAATTTTCATACCCAATTTTAGTACCATAATTTGACAATACCTTAAACTTGATGCAACAAAATTAGAATGAGTACCTTCAAGTTAAAACATATAATTGCATATCAACAAGAATATCATATCCATTGTAAAAGAATAATTAAATAAGTGTAAAACTTCATATATATATATATATATATATATTGGATAAGGCAGACTAATGGAGCATGATTGCAACTCCGAGTTTCACGCCTTGCGAGCGATCATCAATGGAGCATGGTTGCAACTCCGAGTTTCACGGAGGAATAGACCAAAACTATATATATATATATATATATATATATATATATATATATATATCATAGATTTTTATATGAAAATCAGTATCATACTCTCCCGTTTCATGGACCTCAAATACCTAAAGTAATCAATAGTTAATTTTTTTAAACTGAGCATTGCTCAAATGAGCTCTAAACATCTCCTTATAAGAGGAATTGAATGGTGATTATATATTGTTACAAGAACTTTGTACATTTGCAGATTTGCATACTGTGGTAGAAATCGATAAACAATAAAGAGATGGCACAGGCTTTTTTTTAAAGATGATAATGAAAAAAGGGAAATGTTATATTATAGGCATAGTAAAACAAAATGGGAGAAGCTGATTATGTGCACACAAGCATTTGCATTTTGGTGCATTTTTTTGGAGGTATTACAAGCACATAGTATAAGAGATTTTGTTGGGAGAGAGATCACCATCCCCTTTATTGGTCATTAAAATACATCTTATCTAAAGGGAAAATCATATTAAAGCACTGCCAATGACATTTTAGATCTGCAATACATCGTTGGAATTGTAAGCAACAAGTATCCTGTGATACAAGATGATTCATGTTAGTATGATTGTTGTTACAATATTCAGTTATAGGATGACAAAACATAGTTATGACAGTTTATTTAAAGGCATCGTTTAACAATGTTAAATTTGAGATGCATGGCCCTATGTGCTATCAGTGTTTGTGATATGGTGTGATATTGAAGCAAAAAAATTTGCACTTCAAAATGATCATGAAGTGCCTCAAAAAAGTAAAAATCTTTGATTGACCGGTTTTACCATACTCATTTACCCCAATAGACTGTAGTGTAATAAAAAACTGTTAGGAAAACGAAAAATGATATTTTGATTTCCGATCATAAATATCTTGATAATCAGACCATCGATCGGCTTGTAAAAGCCATGGGATTCCTGACTGACCTTAAAGGTTTATAATTATGATTGCAGCATGAGCTAAATCCAAGATATTGTTTCAGAATCTGAGGCAATGTTATGGAGTCACTTTATTCTCAGGCTGATGATAGCTTCTGTATGGTGCCTTTGGTTCCATCAAGTACAACATGATCTCCTATAAAAAAAAAGCAGATGTAATAATCATTTTAAATAATCAAATGAATTGAAATAATCAGGTTGATTAATTAAAAGAAAGACATGCAGATTGCAGCCAAGAGGCTAAAAATCTTAATTGAAAAACAAACGTTGATTACAACACAATATGTAACAACTTGATTTACCAAATTTTACATTGTTGTACTGGTAACACTTATAAAGTACATGAGAAACATTACTAAACTGCAAAACTGACAGAAAAATGAAACAAAAGCCTAGACATGAATAAAGACGAGAAATATAGAATAGCAATATCAAGTCTTTACAATACATGAGCATACCGGTAGATACAATTAAATATGAACATTACCTTTTATACAAACATAAAAGCATGAGTTAAATACCATTCATATTAATCAGTTAAACAAAATTCACCAACAGGTGGAATCTTTTTTATCAAACTATCATGAGTTTATACAGATGGGGATAAATTATGAGTTCCATTTCATACATCTGAGTATGCATTAAAGCACTAATTAGTATATTTAACCTGATATTTAGGCCATTTATTTGTAGCTTTTCATATTAGATCAATAGATTTAGCAGGGACAGGACTTACCTGATTGGAATGAGGTAGTTGCTCCTTTAGCATTGACTAGACATGGGATACCATATTCACGAGCAACAACAGCACCTGATGAAGAATGGATTTGAAGAAGAAAAAAATAATGTACATGCATAGATGTACTGGAAGAACTGTTTCTGGAATTTGAATAAATCCATGGTAAGGTTGGTACATGTTATAAAAAAAATTAAAAATTACAGAAAAAAATGTGTAAGCTTTCTTTGGTTAAAAGGACAGTTTCAATGAAGTTAGATTTAAGGCTCTCTTTAACTTTTCAAAATATGCATTTATGTTAAGAAACCAGTACAAATATATCAGGCAAAATTACATAGGTGACATTGATAGCATGGAACTCCTTTAAAGTTACTCTTCCAGTTAAAAGGTATGGAGTAAGGAGTCACCAAAAATATTAATAATTTTTTTTGTTCACTTGTCAGCAAATTTAGGATACTGTGAACTCCCACCCCCCCCCCTTTTTTTTAAAAATAATAATCTTGGATCTGCCCCTGTGATAGCTGACTATAGAGCAGTAGCAGATAACTTCAAATCCATCCTGGTTAGAAGCTTCTTTTTCTGATCTGCTGTCTCTAATCCTGAAAGTGAAAATAAACTACTCTCTCTTGAAGCTTCCTAACATTTAAAATGCAGTCATCTTTTAGTTATTGTTTTTTTTCCTCACCATGTGAGATAAGTCCTCCGAGCTCTGTCACTAAGCCACCAATCAGAGGGAAGTAAGGACTCCAGCCAACATCTGTGAAGACCACTATCAGGATCTCACCAGCCTGGAAATATAGTTTTAAAAACTTGAGTCACTGACAGGTCAACGTAATAATATTATCATAGAGCATACTATATTTTACAAATATCATAACAAAAATACAAAAAATAAACATTTTCTGTGTGCCCAAACCTATGAACAGCCTGCAAATTTCCATTTCTTTAAAAACTTAATGTTTTACATTCTTTAAAATCATTCATGGATATATAACTGATTCATTATCATGAAAAAATGTAAAAGTACCGGAAGGACAACTACCATCACAAGCCAACTTCATATACCACTTCCCTAAGATTACCCCTCAGATAACTATCTAATTCAACAGGGCCCATCCTGAAGGATCTCCTGTCTTTCTTTAAAGAAACAGCTTACTTCGAATCATAAGGTCAGGTGGGCGCATTACCCGACCTTTTGTGAAAACATGCTCCTTTATTCACAACATTTTGCGGGTAACGTTTGTGAATTAAACCCCTCTCATTTACAAATGGTCTGGTCCAAATTAACCAACACTTTGTGAAAACCCTACGGCAAATCTACAAAAAGGTTGCGTCATCTTCCACTTTCGTTTCAGGGTTGAACTATCCTGTAGCATCATTAAAGAGCACTATATATCACCTTACCTGGATAGTACCAGCATCTTCCAGTCTTGTCACTACTCTGGCGGTACCCTCTACATGGCCCTGGCACACAGGTAGACCTGAGATGGGACAAGAGTGGTAAAAAAAGCTTGCAAGGGTTTGATGGTGTCAACTGGGGTCAATTTACAAACAATTTTCACACAAGTATGGAATATCTTGAAAGTTTGTCTATCTTCATCACAGCTTCAAATTTTATTAGAAAGAGACTAACAAAAGAGAGGGAATTGCCAAATTCAATCTGTAAATCAGAAAAGGAATTGTCAATACTTTGAAGAGAGATTATACATACACTTAGGCTTTCCTTTACATCACTATGTACAATCTACATGTATGCAGTGCTGAGTTAAGATTTTCTTTAAGATTTTTTGTGAAGAAAATTGTGAAGACATTGAAAGTACTGTCATATATAAGCTTTTACAGGGCTGGTGTCATATGTTTCATTCACAGCTGGGTATATTCAAAACAAGATACATTGGTATCGCCTGATAAAATTATTCAAAACAAAATGATCAATGCACTGAGTTTGAGTTTTTTAAATCACCCCAAAAGATATCCAAATTATGTCACCAACATACCGGTAAAACTTTTTAGAATAGATAAAATCTTGATATATCAAGATGAGAAATTATTGTGCATCAAATTCATTCTTTACACTGAACAAGCAGACTGCTAAATTATATCATGACTTTACCTTTGAGTGTCACTAGTGCAGTAGTCTTCCTCTGTGTCTCAATCTGAAAAAGAAAACACACAAAAAGTATTACTTCTGAACCATTGAAGACGACCAGAATAATTTCCACAACAGATACTGCATGACTTAAACAAATCATGCCATTCATTTCACTCCTACTACTAAATATGTCATTGCTTTTTTATGTGCACTTCCTTTATAACTTAAACTTTGACATTTTTATCATATTTGCTATTTCTACCATTCTTCTCCATCCCTTTCAGTCCTTTCATTCAAGATTTGTCACATACTTGTCCAGGTCAGAGGATATACAACGAGATCTGTAGTATATAAAGACTGCTCAAGGAAGCCAAGAAAAGTAATTGTTGATTTCCTGAACCTTTTCATTAACCATCGGCTAATATCCATTGCCTAGGAGAACCTTAATAATAATAAATAATAATATTAATAAAAACGCTGATTATAAAGCGCTTACCTCAAAAACTCTAGGAGAATCTTAGACAAGGATAAGCTAGACTTACCGGTTGGGGGCTTCCCCTGAACACCTCGGGATAGTTCATAGCCATCTGAACAGGCAGCAGCTTCCTACGACGGATCGCTCTGAGAAAAAGAAAGGAACAGTAATTATACTTTTAAAACTGTTCTTTTAATACTGTCACACTGATATAAGAGTTTCTCACAAACCAAAACCTGCACTGGCATACTGATGCCAAAATCAAAATCTCTAATCATTCAGAAACATCCTTTTCACATTGAATTATAATGTGCACCGTTTTACATGAAACTAAGCAATTTATACTACTAACATCAGATATTGCCATTACCAGTATTATCAAATATAAGACAACAAGCAGTATGAAGAAAGAAAACTTATTAATTTACCATCACCCTTATTCATATTAAAAAAACAGAGAATTTATACTCTGTCTAAATTATGCTTTGCACCATTTCATATTGATGTCTGGAATACAGGAGATCCATATTGGCATTTGTGATCACCATTACAATGATTTGTTTTAGTAAAGAATGAAGGTACATGTAAGTCATATGATAGCAAGTGTACTTCCAGTATCAATCAGATGATAATAATAATAATACTCAGTTTTTATATAGCGCTTATTACAATCACGAAGCGCTTCCAAACTTGGATTACCCCGGCTTTAGCTGTGCTGCCATTACGGCGCTCTAGCATTTCAAAGAATTAATTTCTGCCAGGTACCCGTTTACATCGCCTGGGTTGAGTGTGGCAAATATAGATCAATGATCAATATGCCATATCTACACTATGGTATTTGATGGAACTCACTTTGACAGGGCCAGAGGAGACCTGTTCTTGAGAAGAAGCCCAATCTCACCGTGGGTCAGGAAGAAGATCAGATCCCTCTCGGGTAGCCTTCCCTGGATAGTGAGGAAGTGATGGAGAAAAGAACTGAATTTTAAGAAGTCAAATCTGCCTATAAAGGCCATTCTCTGAAATACAGACAAAAGAGGCCGCTATGGATATAGGTGACCTTTCTAAACAGGTTTTACAATACACATTACTTCCTAGATGAAGACAAGGGAAGTGACCACTATAGAGAGGTTTCATGGTAAAGTTAAATCTTTCTATACATGCCATCACCTTGAGCATTATCCGGTGGACATATTGAGCCTTGCAAATGTCTGGATTATTGTTGTTATTATTATTATTTTTTTTTTATAATAATAAAATTATTATTCTTGTCATCATCATCTTCATCATCATCATCATCATCATTACCATCATCATCATTATCATTATTATTATTATAATATAGTATTAATGACTGCTTTGAGAGAAATAGTTGTTTTATTACGCTCAAGGGAAGGTTAGAAGCCGAGGGGAATAGCCCAATTCTAACCTTCCCGAGAGCGTATGAAAACAACTATTTCTCGAATATTAAAGCAGTCATTAATACTTTTATATGCCGAAAAAAAATAGACTAAAAAATGAAAAGTTAAAAATATTTATCATTTTAGTCGAAGACGGGATTCGAACTCTTGCGTACAACAAGAGGTGTACCGTAAACAAACGCTTAGACCACTCGGCTACGGCCCGCCGTTAACATGCTTGGCAGTTTTCTCCAATATATACATTAAAATGGATTGAAACCGGCTTCGCGTGTGATGAATGCTTCGCAAAAGCTCCATATACGGACTCTTCTTTTACTTTTGCAATGCATATTGGCACGAACTTAGATCAAGATCTATCGGCAGATGTTGTTTTTTTGTTTTTGGAAGTTTATTTTCGTCTTCATGTCAACAATGCAAGATAAAATTGTCGGTAAGATCGATCGAGATTCAATTGTATTGAAATTACCGACCAATCCTTCGCACACATACGGCATCCTCCATCGCTCAAACCATTTTTTAACATGTAAACCTATGGGGTAACCATGGACGCTGACCAACTTTTTTTAATAACCATGGTTATTAAAAATATTGAAATGTTTTATGCATGGTTACCGAGAATTTTACAGGAACAGTTGAAGTTTATGAATGCAATTCGACCAATCAGATGGCTGGATTTCTTAAGTGAGGTATATAATCATTGCTATTTCATTATTATTACTACTATAAATATTGTTATTATCATTATTGTTATTATTATCATTATCCAAGGGATTAGTAAAAGGCCACTCTAGACAAGTGGTCTTTCTAAACAGGTTTCACAAAACACACATTTTCTCCTACAGGGATACAGACAATCTAGATGACCACTTTACAAAAATGGCTTTTGTAGAGAGGCCGATAGCCACTACAACAGATTTTTGTATTGTTTAGTTGAAACTGTCCATAAAGCCTTTAAGGCCAATCTAAGAGACATACTGTATATACCTCTTCAACCATCAGCTTTGCAAGTCTCCAATAACCCTCCTTCAGATGATTATGCATTTTAACTGCAAGAGACTAGAAAGATACAGAAACATAGACTGAATGAACTCTTTGTGTTGGAAAACATGGTAAAAAAGTATATATTCAGGTCTCTTGCTGTGTACATTTCAATTTTTCATAATTCTTTTATTGTTCACTGATTTACTGCCACACTGAAGTGCTTTATTTATTGACAAGTACTCTTATGATTTGTATTAGCATCTTTCGGTATATCACTTAGACATTAGATGTTTGATGATGTTTGACGCCGCTTTTTTTTTTTACCTGAAAGAAATGCTTGTAGGTAAACAACCAGGGAACCAATGGCTTTGAGTCCTCTCCGAAGGACTTGGTAATGAGGATTAATGCCTTACAGAAGGGCACGAGCGCATTGACTTGGTTGCAAACCCGGGACTTCCCAGCTACGAGACCACTGCTCTACCAATGAACCATCGTGCTTCCTCATTCCATTCAATTACATTTACATTTAAATTTACATAGAACACAGGACTAGTAAAACAATTCTACTACCTTGACTAGATTTAATATTGCCAAAAATGTCATTTAGATTTGTTTAAATCCAACTTTTATTCACCCTTGAGCCTTTTTGCATTCTGGACTCTTCTTTTCATGCCACTACATTTTTCCTAAGCTTCCTAAAGATATATATATAGATATGCACGTAGAACATTATCTCCAAAAACATTCCTGGGCCTTGTTTCAAAAAGCCTGTTATCAATAACAAATGCTAAATTTCTAAGACACATTTGCTCTCAGCTAATCAGACGCCAGGATTTCAGTAGCTTAAACAATTACCATAACTTGTTATTGATAACATATTTTATGAAACAGGGACCTGAAGTGGTGGCTTACCTTTCCCCACTCTCTGTGTCCAACTGCCACTCTTGCCTTGGGAACAAAGATCTTCAGGATCATTCTACAGAAAGAGAAATAATACAGATATTTATTTCGGTCAATCGTAAATACAATTTTTTTCTTATTTTTTAATTTACTATTTCCACTTTAATCAAACACCCTTTAATATCAGAACAATATGTTTTATTGATTTATGTATTTTTGTCATGGTGTCTTTGTAAATAGCCTCATATCTTTTAGATTTTAAATATGCACAACTAAGGTCAGACAGTTTAAGATCTAAGCTTTGAAAAAGTGTTAACACCATTGAATGTTACTGCAGAATAATCTGCCTTTCAATAAAAATGATCGGGGGCAGACAAAGATGTGAATATGTATCCTTTTCCTGATGGAATATAATTTCTGTGCTATACTGATCCATGTTTGCAGGCAATTATCATACAATTATGATTGACAACTTGTGTAATTTCCAATTGTGTTCAATACATATATATATCTTGTGTGTGTGTTTCCAAATACTGTTTTGTTTACCGGTATATGCTTATTTTTTTCAATATTACCCAGACATTTTCTTTCCCGAAAAGACTTCCAACTAAATACTTCTTACAAAAGTAAAATTCAGGCTCTATCTCATAAAATATTGCTATTTATTTGAATCAATCACAAATCTTTATCATACAGGGCCCTGGAGGGTGTTTCACAAAGATCCTAAGTTGAAATCTTTAAAAAAAAAATATATAAACTGTTTTTGTATGTAAAATGTGGAATAAATAAATCTTCAAACTTCAAACAATTATGGAAAGCTGTTAGCATCTTTGAAAATATTTTGAAAAAGTTATTTCAAAAGGCATAAAACGTTGATTAAAATCATTCATATTTTCTATTATTAAAGAGATTTCATGTTTGAATATATTTTATTTTAAGGCTACAAGTGGCTCTCCATAATGTTTAAGTCCAACTTAGAGTTAAGTTCGACTTAGGATCTTTGTGAAACACCCCCCTGGTCTACGATTTCAACCAATGAGACAAACTCAGAGAAGCTTGTAGTGTACCTCTCAAAGAAGGTGACAGGAGTTTTGAGCTGCTTGATGGCATCATTCACACTAAGCTCCTTCTTGGATCTACCAATGTTTCCTCCTTTCAGTATGGACTACAGATAGAGTAAACAAATAAGCATTTGATAGTAAGATGAATCATTGCAGAAAATAATAGATTGTGTAACTGGAAACTTTTAAGCTGTTCATGACAAAATTCTTCAAAATCGATTAATTTTTTTAATTTTTATAAACAAAAATACTCCCAAAATATGCACTTGATGAAAGTTTAGTTGCCTTATTTGGCAGAATTAAAACTCTCCTTGTTTCCCTTAATATATTATTTAAATGTCATTTAGGGATAAACAAAACAATGATCACTGAGTGATCATTTTATATGATACATCGGCCTACTGAGGTAATGGATGAATTATATTTTTATTAGTGGAATATAAGCAATAAATATTAAGAATTAGAAATGACAAAGATGCTCTCTCTACACACCTGTATGACTGGAATGACTTTCATCGGTTGCATCTTCCATGATTGCTCCCTGAACTCAGACTGAAAGGCAAATAAATAAAGTTGCTATGACATATAGAACTTAGGCATCTCTGAGTTATTCCTTGTATGTAATGATATACATGAACATATCTGTTTAAAACAAATTTCTTTTTTGGGTGTTCACTTAAGCCCCTCTGCACTAGTTTGGCCAAGAGGGATTTAGACCTTCCTGCAAGGCCACTGACAGGTGGTTATCACATTAACCCTTACTGTACTGGGCTATTTCGAGCACTCTCTGACTGGGGGGGGGGGGGGCCTGGGAGGCCCCCCCCCCTATGATCTCGGCCGTCGAATGTAGTTTTTTTCTAATATGCAAATTTTTGTCGTTATAGCCTAATTAATTATGCAAAATGCTAATTTTATGCATTTTACAGAAAACTCTAAATATTTGTCCGTAGACTTGTGAAGAATCTTGAAAATGTATTGAATAAATGTTTCCTTCATCTCAAATTCATGAGGTTTCATTATTTTTATGATATTTGAAAATGCATAGGTTAATTTGCATAAATTATGAATATGCAAATTATGCATTCATTAATTTAAAATCTGGAAATATACAGGGAACTAGAATCATTACAAAAATTGTCAGACTCCACTTTTGTAATGTTGAAACTCATTATTCATATGAAACTTCTTTTCTAACACAAAATAGTTATTTGATGTAATTAATAATGATAATTTATGCAAATTTGATGCGGATTTTCAACTATTTATTTTCTTATGTATTTCATTGTTGTTTTTTTCTTATTATATCTATTGTTTTATTTCTTATGTATTCTTTTGTTCTGAAATACATCAAGTTACTTTGAGAAACATATAAAAGCAATTTGATATCAATTCATATCTTCACATTTCTGCTTGTACATGAATATATGCAATTATAGCACTTTTTTTATGACATGCGCATACTAATTGTTATGTAACACCTTACAGGTATATCCAATTTCGACGAAAATGGTATCAAAATGTGCGTAAGACTTTAGGGAAAAAAGTCATGAAACGACAATTCAAAATTCCGAGCGGTTGCGGCGCGATCTCCGAAAATGTCGAGGGGGGGGGCCTCCCAGGCCCCCCCCCCCCCCAGTACAGTAAGGGTTAATCAGCTCTCAATTAACATAAGAAAAAGGGGACAATGGGGCCCAATGGTCACCGATTAGGCATTGTTACTATGAAGAGGGCGCAAGTAGCTATAAGTAGTGCATTGGGCTTTAATTGAAAAATACAAAATATCAAATTCAAATGTTTACTTTATTTAAATATCAAGAGATTGATGAAAAGTTATTCAACTTTCTTCATCTATCAAATTGTTATCTAACAATCCAGGAAATATGTACAGTTAAATGGACTATTTAACCTGTTGGCAACTGAATTGTAACATTCCCATAGGCTTAAGAAAGGGACCATCCGATTCCAGTAAACATCGGATTCAAATGTCTAAACAGTAAATAAAATCCCTGACTTATGAAGTGATTCATGTGCTCGATCGGGGTCCAATCGCTATTCATAAGGACCGTTACTCATAAGGACCTGTATTCATAAGGACCGCTATTCATAACGTGTAACTTCCCATACCTGCAGGTCTGCTATTCATAATGGTAAAAGAGGGTCACTATTCATAAAGAAATAAGGTTCGTTATTCATAAGGACTGCTATTCATAACGTGAGAAGAGGGTCGCTATTCATAATACGAAATAAGGTTCATTACTCATAAGGGTCCCTACTCATAATATGAAATCAGGGTCACTATTCATAATACAAGAAGAGGGTTGCTATTCATAATACGAAAATGAGGTTCGCTATTCATAATACCACGAGAGGTTCGCTATTCATAATAGGAGAAGAGGGTCGCTATTCATAATAGGAGAGGAGGGTCGCTATTCATAATTGGAGAAGAGGGTCGCTATTCATAATAGGAGTAGAGGGTCGCTATTCATAATGCAAAATGAGGGTCGCTATTCATAAGGGTCATTATTCATAAGGTTCATTATTAATAGGAGAGGGTCGCTATTCATAATAGGAGAAGAGGGTCGCTATTCATAATAGGAGTAGAGGGTGGTCGCTATTCATAATACGAAATGAGGTTCGCTATTCATAATACCACGAGAGGGTCGCTATTCATAATAGGAGTAGAGGGTCTCTAACGACCCCTGTATTGTGAACAGCGACCCTCTTCTTCTATCATGTGGTCCTTATGAATAATAACCCTTTTCTCAATTTATGATAACAATCCTTATGAATAGCAGTCCTTATAAAAAGTGGTCCTTATGAATAGCGGTCCTTATGAATAGTGTTCCTTATGAATAGCGGTCATTATGAATAGTGTTCCTTATGAATAGCGGTCATTATGAATAGTGTTCCTTATGAATAGCGGTCATTATGAATAGCGAGTGGACCCTGTTTCTCATTGGCTTTGCACTACTTATTTACCTCTCGTATGCAGCGATGACCCTGTTCCTCCAAGAACTTCTTGAAGATCACGCCCGCAGACTTGCCCTCTGAACCCTGCAGCCATTGTAAAGCCTTGGCAGGTTCCCACCTGGCAAATAGTTCAGACATCCCCTCATTCAGCACTGCCTTGGTAATGTTCTATGCAGTATATAATAAATAGGATTGAATACCATATAGGCCACATATTATATTTTACCTCTAGTTAATTTCCTTATTCTTTCTGTTACTAATATTAGCCACTGTTTTTTCTGTGCTTTAGAGCATGTTGATATCTTCTGTTCAGCAGGTATGTTGTATCTACTCTTTTGTATCAATGTATTATGCTTGTAAACAAATCTATTTGTCATTTATATGGACAATACACTCGTTGAATGGCACTAAATTGAATTGAAAGAATGTACCTTTTGCGGCATATTACTGTAACACTTAGTTTCACTAGCTTACGTTATGTTATGATCACTCTCATTGTTGCTAACCATTATCTTTAATTGTATCATTATACCCCAACACCAAAGTGTAAATCATATACTAGCTATCATTCATTTGGTTTATAAAAAATGTATTTTCAATTGTTATACCATCTGTAATCTGTGGAAAATGTCTTTTTTTATAACTTAAGGTGATAAATTTAAGCAATATTTATGCACACGTAAGAATCAGTCCAGAGATGTTTGGATTCGGTTGTAAAACTCAAACATATAGTATTACCGACTGCTAATGTGAAATATTCAGTAAATTGATAGATCCTTCATTTATTCCATAAAGTTAGAAACCCTTTATATATGATAGCTATACATACCTCTAGAGCCATAGGAACATCTGCACTAGAGACATTGGGACAGCTGGAAAGCAACATGGCCACCTCAGAATAGTGAATTGTCTCCCATTCTGGAAAAAATAAAATGCAAGGCAAGGACAACAATTTAAATTTGATGCTGAAGTGCATGCAAAGTGCAAGTATTCTCAGATATTAAAGAGACAAAAAGGGGTTAGGGTTTGAGGGATATGTAAGATTTTAAAGAGAAAAGTAAGTCCTCTTTTGATTCATAATGATGTTGTGGAAGTGAGGCCTACATGTATATAAAATAAGATTTGTGCGAAGATTTAAATATTTAGCTTCCTTTGAGCTAGAATGTGTAGTTGATAAGTTCACACAAACAGATTTTTATCAATGACTTTGTAAACAAAATTGAGTACAAAGACTGGATCATAGTGTCTGCAGTAGAAAAGTCTACACAAACTGTAGAATTTATCTGTATTTTCAATTTCTGCTAGAAAGGTAGCTCTCCTTTAATAGACAACATCATTTTCCTGTAAAATGCTCTATTTCCGCAATGCAGGCACTCCCATACACTTGCAGAAGAGTGCACACATGAGATTATGAAAGTTCAAAAGTTCGCTACAGGGAACTTGAGGCAAAGCTCCTCAATTTGAATGAACCCAGTGACCCCAACCCAATTTCTGATTTTGAACACCATCCACTTGAGTGCATTCCCACCTGTTTACCGAACCTAAGTACATTTCAAGCCTCACTGGGAATAGTTACCAAGTCAATTTCAACACAGATAGTACATTTCAAAATTTGAATCCTTTGTCATGAACAGTTTTTGGTATGTGTGTAGATTCCCATCCTGTGTAATGTACATTTTTGAACAAAAGATGGAATGTTCTGGTCAGCAGGTGTCAGTTACATTCTTACTTGTTTACAAAATTAATTAATTAATTTTCTCTCTCTCTCTCTCTCTCTCTCTCTTTCTTTCTCTCATTTTCCATTTCTGACGGTGACATTCAGACAAATGTCATAGAAGATTACATTGAAATAAATGACCATCCATTTTCATCACTATCTTAAACTACATACATAAAGAAATATGAAGGATGATTTTGAGTTAATTCTCTTATGAAAGAAGGATGTCAGTTTATCTCAAATGTGACATTGAAATTTTCAGTAGGATCCATCCTTCAATAGTTGAATATCATTCAAGTATTCCCAAATCACTATATTAAGAAATTCTATGCATTCTCGCAGGTAAATCAGTATTTTCTTCGGGTCATAATGATGAGTTTGCACACTTACTAGCAGAACCTTTGGTTAGGACAGCCATGAGCACATTGCCATAGGAACTAGAAGCTGAACTCAGAAACATTGATGCTCTCCAGGCCTGAAAAGAAAAAAGCAATTACACACAAAAAATCACAAAAAATCATAGAATAGATCCATTCTTATATATGTTATCATTAAATGTACTTTCTGTCGGTGCTGTAGAGGGTAAATTGCCGTTTGGTTTACAACCAGTTGTTCTACTACCCAGTTAGTCTATTTTCATATGGTCTACACCCAGTCCTTCTAATATCTACAGGGCTGTCAACCCTCCCGCATTTGGAGGGAGTCTCACGCCACCACGCTAATTCTCCCGCCGTCCCACCAGCTCGTAGCGGGAGACTCCCGCCACCACACCCTTCCTCCCGCTCTCCCGCAATCTCCCGGTTTATGGAAAAACCTCCCGGCAGACGTGTAAAATGAACCAGCGTACTTGTATCGTATGGATATTTTTTGCTCAACAGGGGGGGGGGGGGGGTAGTGAGCACTTCGATTTTTTAATTTTTGTTTTCTTACTAAACACCCCCCCCCCTTCCCTGTTGAGCAGGAAAAAAATTGCATGTGATCTCCCTCGAAGAAGTTCCCCAAAGTTATAATTGTACAATATCATGGCATAAATGATCAAAAAGGCCAATAAAATATTGGGGGAGGGAGACGGATTTTGCATACTACATTATTGAATGTCTAATTCTTCTGGTGATAAATACTATCATCAAGTTTGAAGTTCATATCTCAAGTGGTTATTGAGATATTGCAATAACAAGAAAGCAGGACAGATGGACGGACGGACGGACGGACAAGCAGAAAACTAACCTCATACACATCTGGTATCTTGCTGTCTATTTCTTGGTAGAGTCCCGCAGCTGTACGACACTCTTTGATCCTGAAGGATGAAAGTTTCTTCTCCAACTTATCTACACCCTTCTTGGCATTGAGAACAACCTAGAAGGAAAAAAAACTTAAATCAATGAATTCATTAAAAAATAATACAAATAACAAAATGTTTAAAGCAAATTTATGTTGATTTTGTTTGTAGTCAAATGCACTTCAATTCTGTTTTATGAGTGGGTTTTATTTTATTTGGTTTTAAGGGGAACAAGGATTTAAATTGGTTAAAAAGGGAACAATATTAAACAACAAATTGGGTGCAAATTGTGATATAGAAATTATGAATATTTATGTTGAGACTATATATTTGAACTCCACTGAAAGATACAAAGACATGTGCTTTCTGGGGGTGGGGGTGGTATTTCTAAATCCCCAAACTTTTGAGACACTGACCATGCTCTAGCAATAACTGATGAACAGTTTGTTTAGCATCATTTTATCATCATTTTACACAGATTTAACATCCTTCTGGCTCGAAACAGACAATATACTGGTGTTATAGCATTAATGATGCAAAACAGAATGTACAAAGAGAAGAAAGGATAATAGAGACATACTCGTATCATCTTGAAAGCGTTCCAAAGTCTGCGGATGAGACTGTTTGGCGGCCCATGGTAGGAGTGGATGTCATCTGTAGTGAAGTCATCCAGAACCTGAGTGAAATAAAAAATAGAAATTGTACCAAGGTGATCAGTTCTTGATTAGCAAATTCTTAATTAGCCTTGCCCCCTGAATAATCAAATATGAAACATGGTATATGGTTTCACTCTGTGCACTACAAAACAATAACTGCCCAAGTAAGTGCTTTGTAGCTTGCTTTTGTTCCCCTTTTAAAAACAAATATTGCCACTGCACTGTTTTTTCATACCACATGAATGATGAATATACAACGTTTATTACAATCAAATGCTCATGCTCATGGTATTTATATATCATAATCAATGGGCTACATGACTAGATTCAAGAAATCCAAACATTGTGTTTGTGATTACGTCAATTTCTTCCTGGCCTGAAACTTGAAGAAAAAAAAAGTAATGATATAGCAGCTACAGCCCTGAGACCAACAGCCGACAAGAATGACAGACAGACAGACAACATTGGTCTCGCAGGCCTTCTAACAAATTTTCTGAGGGTCTATACAAGACCAAAAATTTCCGTCTTTAATGGGATTTCCCAGAGATAACTGCACGGCAAGAAAATTTAACATCAGCTAAATGAAGTGAGAGTACAATACATGGTCATTTATGGGCTAAAGATAGAATATGGTTTGGAATTGTCCTAAAACTGTAACACATACCTGACCGAGAAGTGCTACCTCCATCATATCCTTACGAGCCATTACTGAGTAGTCTTGACTGCAGGCTCCTACTTTCTATTTTAACAAAAAAAAACAGAACAAAATCTCTCAATAGAAGCACAACTGAAACAATAGATGTAAATGTGTATATGTTTACACTCTTTGATACAGCCATCAATTGACATGACCTGAAACAAACATGGAAAACATTTTTTCCGTAGAACTCCACAATATAAAATGTACACTTTCAAAGGCTAAAGCTAAAACATGGTTCTAACATTATGGAACCAAATAACAACTTACGAATAAATATATTACTTAAGACCACATGCCAGGTACACACAGGCGCGTATGCAGAGGGTGTTAAATGTCTTTCTTCTGTGACTTACTGTGAGACTGATGAAGATTTTTCCACAGCTGCTAGCAATAGACTTCAGGCAGGGCCAGGTGGAAGGTGGACCTCCAACACGAGAAATGAACGTCTTAAATAGGAGAGTAAGAGATCAAAAGAGAGAGAGGGAGATAAAGAGAGAGAGAGATATAAAGAGAGAGAGAGATAAAGAGAGAGAGTGAAAGAGAGAGAAAAAAAGGAGAGAGAGATAGAAAAAAAGGAGAAAGAGAGAGAAAAAAAGGAGAGAGAGAGAGAGAGAGAGAGAGGTGGGAAGCGAAGTTAAAAAAAAAGTTTCAAAGGAATATTTGAAAAAAATAACTAAGAGACCGAAAATGTACTGTGAACAAATTCAAGGATGAGCCGCATACAGACAGGATAGAGACTGTTAAAATTCTGTAATAGGAGAATGTTTAGAGGAATTTTGAGCTATGATTGGTTGCAAACCTGTACAAATTAAAGTTCTTTCACTAATGTCAACTTGTAGAAGGGACAACTATAGTCTGGATCTGCTCTTTGTTTGAAATGCGCTATGAAACTCTGCTTGATGCATTAGAATACATTTACTGTTGATGAACATGCATTATGCTACTGCTTTGGGGATGGTTTGATTTTTTTCTCCACCCCATAACACACATTTCTAATAGGCTTATATGTCCCAAGTTCTCTCAATAAAACCTCAAGCTCCAGTTTATTTATGACATATATACACATTGAATGTTCAGAAATGAATATACACAAGTATTAAACTTCATTGACTCCTTCAATGCATGTATGCATACATTCCAAGGCTTTCATGTAACTGCAAAGGGGATTTAACTCTGCCTAATGCCAAAGGGCTAATCCCCATTGTGCCAAGCCTCAAATCCCCCTGTGCCAAGTTAATTTTGAGATAAGCGGATTAACGCGATGGTACTATCAATAAGCAGTGTAAGCAGCCTTATGGCAGGATATGAGTTAAAGGCCGTCTGTACTAGTTTGGCTAGGAGGGATTAGACCACCAGGCGAGGTCACGGACAGGTGGCTATCTCATCAACTTAGCTCTCAATTAACATAAGAAAAAGAGGATCATGGGGGACCAATGGTCACCACTTAGGCATCGTTTTTTATATAGAGGGAGCAAGTAGCTACATGTACAAGTAGTACAGTGGGGCTTTAAGTTTCTATATTTTCTCACCTGCAAGCACCAGTCAATGGCCGACACAAAGACACTGTAGGTCAGAGGTGTAACAGCACCAGGCATCATCTCCCTTTAAAAAAAAATGCATCTTAATTCATGAAATAATGTCACATTTATGTCAAGGTGTGTACATCATGGTATTATGTATACAAAAATATGTTAAATATGTGCTTGAAAGTATGAATCTGAACATAAATAAGGAGCATTGTAATTTATCTTTATTAAAATAGCTTTTAATAGTCAAATGTATCGGAATTATCTAACATATCTAAAAACTATTTTGATAATATTTATCCCAATCAAAGAAATAATAAGAATGCTTATATTAGGTGTCTAGTTGGCTGTAAGTTAAGTTAAGGGACAAAAAGAAACACATCAAGAGAAAGAGAGAGAGAGCAAGAGAATTTGGAAGAGAAAAGATTAGTATTGAATACATAACAAAACTGACTGAAGATTTTAAAAAAGAGTCCGTACTGGATATTACAAGTTGTTAGCCACTCTCTATCTGTAGCAAGGCCCGAATCAAATTCATGAAGCAATTCATAGTCTGTCATCATATCCACCGTGGTGATTGGTCGAGCCTGCAGATTCAAATCAAAGGTTATTAAATATAACCCCCTGTCCCTGAAATAAAATTCTCAGTTGAAAACTCTCATGAAAATTAAAGTTGTGCAAAGTATTCAGAAACAATACATTCATTAAGTGCTATAAAACATTTACTATTCGTTCGTTCGTTCCAGTATTAGTACTATTAGTACCAGTATTGTTATGAAAATTAATGTCATAAAACCAACTATCATGACAATTATCATTATTAGTAGTAGTATTAAAAAATATTTGTAGCAGTATTAATTGCAGTAACTGTACACAGAATAATATTTTGGCGAACAACCATTTAAATTTTGAAAGTTACAAATATGAATAAATCCTACCAACCTGTAAAAGGTATATGACCCCCTTGCTGTAGGCCCATTCTATGTCTCTTGGGTCACCAAACCTCTCCTCTAGCTAAAGAGATATAGAGAAAGAGAGAGAGAGAGCAAGAGAGAGAAAGAGAGAGTGAGAGAGAGAGAGAGAGAGAGAGAGGGGGGGGGGGTAATGCAGGTGGGAAGAAGCCATATTACATGAAGCCACTTACCAGAAAAAGAAAAAAGAAAAACATACTGCATTATCAAGACCTAAAGCGTAATACATTGAAATTTTAAAGAGACAAATAAGTGTGAAAATGATTTTGTATACAATACAGATGTTACACACTCAATACAAAATATTTCTGATATTTGTATGAACAAATTCAAAGTCATTTGGAAGTCTGGATCACAGGATTATATTAAGTTATGATGATGGTTTATGGAAAGAAATACAGCATATATCCATATTAAAACTTAGTAGCACAATTGAACAATATTTGGCACCAACAAGAGTTTCTCTCACCCTGTGTCACATCAAAGTACACAACTCTAATCAAGTCGTTGTAGTAATTAGGCAACATAGGGTACATATCTACCATGAAATGATTCTATTTAGGTATTTGATGAATTTGTGACATTGGGTTTTCCTGCCTTTTGCAATAAGCCAGTTCACGGTTGCAGTCTGAGCATGAGCAGATAAAGGTCATTGCAGAACAAATTTTGAAATACACAAAGAGACGAAATACTGGATACGTGCTCATGAAAGTTATGTAATCATTATTCATTAATGCACAAGCAGTGCACTCCATGATACACAGGTGGAAGACAGTATTCTTTGAAAAGGGGAAACAAAGGCTATTCATATAGCACCTTCATCGCTGTAGGAGTGATTATTTCAAAATGTACAAAGTGGGACCTCTTCATGTTTTGAAGATCTGTGGATATTCGGGGTCATTGCAGTAATGTGCTAACCATGAACTGGTCTATTGAACAAGACACTCCATTTTCTCGCATAAAAATGCAGACTGAATATAAAAAAAGAAATCAGTTACATGATATTAATTAAGGTAACTACCTACCTTGGTTGATAGCCTGGCTAAATCTAATGCCACCTCATCAGAAATACAAGCTTTCTGTGAATCTGTGTCTGGCAGGTCCTTTGTTGAAGTTCCACCAGATTCTAACACAGAAAAGAGAAGTGAGTGCACATCAATATGTTGTAATTAATCAATTAAAAAATCAAAGAAATCTGACGATGCATTTTGGCAGAAAGAGCTCATCAATGCCTTACTTGGGCTTATGTTGACAAGAAACATTGACAATAAGCAAGGCCATGGATAATAGAATAATATCTTTTGAAATGTGGATTTACAGAAGAATGATGAAAATATCCTGGAAACAGATGAGAACCAACAAAGAGATATTGCACATGGCAGGGCGTAAAGAAATTGCACTGGTAGGATTAGTTAAGGAGAGAAAAGTCTCTTAAAGGATATGTTGGAGGGAAGAGTGAAAGGAACTAGACCAAGAGGGAGACCCAGAATCAACTGGGAAGAGAATGTCAAGAACTGGAGTGGACTAAAACTGCAAGAGTGCACCAGAATGGCAGAAGATAGAGTGAAATGGAGAGATGTTGCAATCAACCTCCGAACCATGAGAAGATACTAAGATAGATAGATATTGATGAGATGAAACTACTTAAGAAAATGACTCAATGATACACTCTAATTTGCGTTAACGAGAAAATATATAGCATCCGACTCACCTTCAAGCAAGATCGCCTTCTTCTTGGATCCAATTTCTATTTTGGTAACCTCCAACTTGTCTTTCCTCTTCCTCCTTAAGGTGATGGTGTCCGGGTCAGCCACACCCGATACTACAGACTGGTAAACAAACAAGATTTGGCAGAAATAGTGAATAATTATTAGCCCTGTTATGTTTTTAATGTATCACCAGTCTTTAGCAAAGAGCTCAAAACAGAGTCAGTGCGAAGTATAACGCATTCAGAGGCTTCTTGCAAACGTCAAAACAAAATGATTTAATGCAAGCTAAAATGTTAAACACAAGTCACATATGTAAATACATGATTCTGATAAGACTGAAAACTTAGTTTTATTTGATGTATCACTTATCGTAGGAGAGCAAGGGGAAACACCATCCTATGCATCTAAGAGTGTGTTTATTGTCCATTTTTTTGTTGCCTTGAATCAGGTTTCTCAAACGTCTTTCAGGCAAATTTTTAAGGTGATAAATGCAAAGCCTTTTTCAAACGTCTTTAGATATGGGTATATAGAAACGCCGAAATAAGTGCGTTTTGAATGTGACATAGAGCCAGAATCACGTTTCTGAGAAATGATAAACGCAAAGCTGTTTTGAACCACACATACAAATCAGACCTTCCCAAGCTAATTTCTGGTTCAGAGAAATAGCGGGCACCTTGTGCTGTGTCATGTTGTTGTACAAGCATATGTGTTTACTCGTTTATCATTCATTGTTTTTTTAATGCATTGCACTGTTCATCGTTTACGTTTCGTGTGATTACGTTCTTTAACTCTTGTATTGTCATCGCGTGCACATGCTATTTACTACTCCAAGAAGATCGACAACATTTCTCTATTTTAGCAGCAGCATGGGTACCCATCATTGAACATTATTATCACCGACAGAGATATGTGTCGAATAGCTGATTCTGAGTGGCAAGTCACGATAAACGCACCCAGAGTCTCAGTAAGTCAGTAAGTCAGATATATCACTTATCAGAATTGAGTTTTGATCATGTATGAGATATGACTTACCTCTCCTAGCCCATAGTTTGCATTGATAAGGACTACAGCAGGGTTTCCATCAACAGGATCACGACTAAAAAGAACACCTATGGCAACAATTGAAAACATACAATGTATCAAATAATAACAGACGATCAAGAAGATGAACAGCACACATGACATATCTCCCATTATCATGTTCAAACTGCATTTGCATTTCTATTGCCAAGTGATATTAAAGGTCAACTGGCTGTACAAAATGGAAAATGCTATCTTAATGAGCTCCACAGGAACAGTTAATAAAGGTAGGATTAACAGTTTTATATGTGTGCGTCTCCTGTTTAATTTTTTTTTTTTTTTTTTTTTTTTTTTGGGGGGGGGGGGGTTCCCACGTTAGAGCCCTGGGCTATGGCATCGTCATTTACATTCTCCTACCTGATATTTCTGAAGGCACCATTTCCATGACGACGACACCCATGGTAGATTCCACAGACTGCCCTCTTTGTCTGTGAAATCCAAGGCACACATGACAACCTTGTTATTTATTTGATAAATGGAGCAAAATTATTTGGACTGTCTAGTACTTATTCCATAAAAAAATAAAAGTTCAATTACATTCAGGTGTCACAAACATATGTGAATTTGTCTGCAGTCATAAATCAGCTATTCTTTATTAATCCTATAATAAAACAATTCATCAAATCAGTCACCTGATTAACCAATCAACAATTCAATCAATTAATCTACCAACTATGCATACAACAAATTAGTCAGTCAACATTAAAAATCATTCAGTAAACAAAACATGCATCAATTAATCAATCAATCCTTCCATAATGTTTATACATACCTCCTGTATTGCACTGCCTGAAAGGAAAACTGAGAAGCCCAACACTGCTGAACAGCTTGACATATCTATTGAATAAAATTACAAATATGAAGTTAACAAATTAGTCAAATTGATAATTTATCATTGACAGATATTATTTTTTGTGATCTCTTGTACAATATACATTTTACAGATTATAGTATACTTGTTCATATTCTCAAAGACCTTTCATAATGTGCGATACTATATTTACACAAAAACTCAAAGGAAATTGACCCTGAAAGTTCTGAATTAGTGTTCAATTATTTATTTATTGCACAATACCACATTATCAAGCTTATTCCATTTTATAAGACACATTAAAGCAACAGTTATAACTCCAATTCTCATGCACTTTCTGTCTACATTTAAACAAACCAATATATACATTGTATGTACCTTATCATAACCTTTGACCCCTAGAATAGTAGTCAGCTGACCTGCTGCAGACATCTCTGCTGTATCTTCACCTATTAGGAAAAAATTCACAATTAACATAATATGATATTCTTTTATATAAAAATGAAAAATGTACAGATTTGAAGAAGATTTTCTTTTATTTCCTTTGGGTAGAAATATGGTACAGGGTGTATATACATGTATATGCATATGCTACATGGACATGTAGCCTAGCTACATTTAAACAATGTCTATGTAAAGTACAATTCATTGAGCAGTTTGAATACATGCCTGTAAATTTACCTGAGATACTCTGGTCCAGGGTTTAATTCAGACCTGCTACAGCACTCATGATTTTTAGCAGTACATTTTCTGGTAATATAAATACATGGCTTTCTGCTAACCAGGGAAATTTTTGTTAAATGGGTCTGAGTTGGATGTAAACATTTTTTGCAGTTTAGCATATGCATGATTGAGAGCAGTGACCAGGTAGAGTGCTTCATGGGTTTGGGAGTGGAGAAAATTTGCAGAGAAGCCTATGAACAAATAATAGCATGAATTCAGTAATTGGTTTGGTCAGTATAAAGCATCAAAGCACGAAACTCTTTGACAAACGGTTATTTTAATCATCAAAATAGTTATCATTATAAACATCTACATGTAGCAGTTCTATTACACACTCTCTCAATGGGCCATTTTGGTTATGTAATCAAATTCAATGCATAAATCTTTGCTAAGTGCTTGTTACAAATTGTTCATTCAAACCTGCTACAAATAATTGAAATTCAATAGTCAGAATTTGAATTGCAATTATATGATGCTAGGTAGGGCAATCCATGCTGTTTGCCCTACATAGCAACAACTAATGAATGCAATTTGCATTCAGACTGAAATAAGATGTAATGAGGCACTTAACAAACATTTACGCATTAAATTTGACTACTGTACATTACCAAAATGGCCTCTTGACCTCTAGACCCACTGACCTGTAGCAGATGACCTGACAGCAAACTTCCTGTCGACGGTGTCTTTGCCAAAGAGTCTCTCCAATTCCCTCTTGATAGCAGAACTGATCTCTGCACATACAGGGGTCTTGCCAAAGAGCTCACCAACCCTTGGATGAACAATGACATAGACTTTGAACATCCTCATCAATCTATCCGGTTCAATTCAATTCAGTTTAAATAATTGTATTTCCATAACTCAATCACATAAAACATTAAAAAATGCTAACACAAAATGGATACCAAAAGACATAGCAAATGCAATTTATTTTTCAATTCTACAATATCAAATGTTGATAAGTTATCAAAGCATTTAAGGATACAAAATATATAAGCATTATCATAAATTAAGTCGAAGTTTAAAAGTAAAGAGAAATCCACTAAAAAAACAGAGCTTGTATTTGGGTGGATTACTACTACCCTTTAAACAAAATATCAAGTGGCTGATTGTTTATAAGGTGGGTCAAATACCACTCCATCTGAAAATGTAAAAGAACAGAGTTTAATTTCTTTGATAATCTTATCTTGCATATACAATATATGTGTAACATTATGATTAATTGAACAAATAAAAAGGAGCAAAAAATCATTTATGTGAGAGTAATGTTGGAGCACAATTGTTCACATTAATTGTCAAATTTTGATGTGTTTTAATATGTATTTCCGATACAAGTATGATTCAGTCTAGTATAAATAATAATGTAGAGAGATATGAACGAAAGAAGAAGCTGTTTAATTCAATCTAAGCACAGCATACTACAGGCAGATGAAGGATTAATTTTGTATAAATAATCATTAAATCTGATGGCAGTTCATTCCTTATTAACTATTAACTTATTAATGGGTCCGAATATGAAATACATTGTCTTCCCAGATTAGTTTTAATTTTGAATACTTTAAGGTTACAAATATACACCTTCAGAGCTAGAGTTCAAAAGAAAATATCGAAGTAGGAAAAGAGAGAAAATGAAGAGGGAAGAGAAGAAGAAAAAGACAAAATTGAAGAAGAAGAAGGAGGAGAAGAAGACGGAGAAGAAGAAGGAGGAGGAGAAGGAGGAGGAGAAGGGAGAGGAGGAGGAGGAGAAGGAGAAGGAGAAGGAGAAGAAGAAGAAGAAGAAGAAGAAGAAGAAGAAGAAGAAGAAGAAGAAGAAGAAGAAGAAGATGAAGAAGAAGAAGAAGAAGAAGAAGCTAGATCATGATGGACAATAGCCCACCTGTTACATGTGTCTTCCAGCGATGCACATCTTAGGTCAGTGGATACCTCACACAATCCCTGAACCGCCTCTTGGAGTTTAGGATAAGACTGGTGGAGAGAAAAAAAATTAATTCAACCTTTTGTCTCATGTACAAAGCAACCTGTAAGTGTATTTCTTTCACTGCCTTAAATAAAATTTAGGGCATTCTCAAGATTCCCACTAGAATGCATAGTCTGCAATTCATTGATTCCCAGTATAGCAGCCTAAGATAGTAAGCAAATAATTACTGTTGGTGAAGGTGATGGGACAAACTATCACTAGCTATCTCTCCGAAGCGAAGCTGAGGAAAGATAGCGTATATATTCAGATCGCCGAAGAAGTATTAGTTTGCCATCGCCTGAAACCAAAACGTGATTATTTGCTTTATATTCCACATCGGCAACTGCTCACTTCTTCCGTCATTTTAGAGCAACTTGTCATCAATTAACAGCTAGCAAACGGTGTACAAAATGTACAGTGTATGCAGTATGGTGGTATGACCATAGTTTGCGCGTGACCACTAAAAGCACTTAAAGAGGAGAGCAACATGCAACGTATACAATTAAAGTGCGTTGCACTGTGTAGATACATGTAGTACTTCTTATCTTCAGCAAAAGTGCGTTGCACTGTGTAGATAGTAGTACTATCTACACAGTGCAACAAACTTTCTTTCATCACGTGATTTACTTTTGACCAATCGTAGAGCAAGATTCTTAGTATGTGAAATATAATTACTAATGTTATTATTTCTACACAGTTTTAAGAGAGTTATTTTTTATTCTCCTATACTAATTATGTATTACTTTCCTTTAAAAATTATCAACAATCTATTATATAATGTAAAATGGCTCTATAAAACTTAAGTACCTAATACAGTGACGGTCTCAGTCTGAACTGCTGGTCACTCTTTATATACCAAACAAATAAAAATAGAATAGAATAAATAAATAAATTCAATTCTTGTTTTCTGAATTGTAGATCCACAATTAACTTTCCCCTAATTGGCCTGTGAACTCCCTTCACTTTTCAAACAACACTATTGCCTGGAGCTACTATAAGGACTGTACTACATGTATATCATAATGCACCACATGAACACATCATTTGTCTTAATCAATCTGGAGCTAACATAACCTTTATCTGTAATCTACATGTACATATGTATTTTGATATCAAGAAACATACAACACCTTTCCACTGTGTACAATTTCATTAGTTTTAAACAAGCATAAATATCTTACTTTCAGTTGAAGTTGGAATGCAGTGCTGGTCACACAGAAGCCTGGAGGGACATCAAACTGATTAAAAAAAGGAGGGAACATAGAAATGATTCATAAACAAAGTAAAGATATAGTCTTCATAAAAAAAGGATAAATCCATATTTCTCATGCCTTTGAAATACGATTGAAAGGGAGAAGAAAAACTATTCAAATATATGTCTCAAAGTTCTCAAAATTCACCCTTGAAATGTATTCATTTGTTTCAAATGATACATGTAACCTTGAAGTTGTTGATTGAACATTTTTTTTTTTTTAACATGGTGATTTACTGTTAAATGGGTATCTGGTAGGATACGACCGTCATGGTTGGTCTAACAGTTTTTGAGCGTTAAGTAACGCCTGGCTGGAATGCTCCCAGGGAGTAGAGATTGTGCACACATTGTGTGCGGGCAAGCACTGAATCCAATGACTGGGGTAATAGTATATCTGTAAAGCGCTTAGAGACATTGTATTAAGCGCTATATAAAAGCGGAATATCATTATTATCATTATTTACCTTGGGTGTGATTTTGTTCCTGAGATGGGTCAACGTAGCAAGCTGAGCTCCTTTGCCTCCTACTAAATTGGTCGACTGGCAGCCTTGACTTGTAAATGGGAGCACAAACCGTTGCAGGTCTTCATCAATGGGCTCTAGTACAGAAAGAAGGGGTTCAATCTTACAGTAAGGTATAGAGGAGAGGATTTAAAGGGAAGATAGAGTTCTGGGAAGATTGCATTATGCAAGTGTGGAAGAACATCAGATAAAATTTGTTCCCTGAAAAGCATGGTTCTTCAAATACCTTAATATTCTAAAAATGGCATGTAACATCATAAAAATCGGGACAGATTTTTACGCCACGTGTTCGTGTAGTCCCATATACATCTTTTTGTGTACAGGACTGGGCCAAATTTCTTATCATTTTGATCATTCAAGAACCTTGCAGTACACACCAAGTCCTATATGCTAGACGATCAACCTTTTCTGTATAGATTCTACAACGTTTCTATCACAATGCAATCGCATGACCAGAAATCAACTTTATCTTTCAGGTTATTTTGGTGATCTAAAACAATTATCAGACTGAGAGCCTACAGTAAACAGAAGCACAGACAATTTCAATTCTTCATTTGATGTTGTGCAGAGTACTTGTATGATAATGCAATTCTACCTGGTTCTATGATCAGAGGAACTGTCTCCTGTTCGTAGTGATTTGGCCTTCCACTATCATTCCTGTAGGGGAAAATAGCAAAAAACATTGTTTTTAAATGTTGCTTAAAAATCAAGTAAATACACATAATTCATAAATTTACTGTTTATTTATTATCCGAAGACAGCTTGAGTAGCTTGTAGATAATACAAGAAGGTGAATTATTGAAAAATTATAAATGGGTTGCAAGAAAATAGAAAAATGCACTTTTGGATATTGTACGTAGTGCAGGGGACTGTTAGGAGGAAATTAATGTATGCAATGTTTTTTATCAGTTCCTGTAAATAGACAAAAATGTGGATCATTCTTTTGTAGCCTTATTGTTTCAAGGACAAAATAATCTTTCCTAGATACAGTTCTTTCAAGAACAAAATACTAGCTGCCTCTACTAATGAGGATACAATAATGATAATGGTGAATGTTGGTGATGGCTATGAAGATGTAGAAAATGGTGAAGATAACAATGGTGAAGATAATGACAATGACGATGACAGCAATGATTCTGATGACTTCCTGGACAGTGTCAGTATTTGCCTCTAGTGGGCTCTCATTAAGTCTTGTCATATCTCTTTCATGCATCCTTTGGGTTTCCTACAGATTTAACTGGCAAGTGTATTCATTGTTTTTACCTGTATAGGAACTCACTGATGCCCCAACCTTTGACCCCACTGACTGTGAACTTTGCCTTCCTCTCATGAACTTTGACCTCCCAGTTTGGACCCATGTAGAAGACAGGGCTAGCCTCCACTTCGACCTTCACCCATAGTTTCCTCCCATCTGTTAGGAAGAAAGGTGAAAACAGGTTGCGCTGTCATATGCTCTGGAGACAACTGTTAATTTTAAGTTGTATTTCATCAAAGATATAGGATAAGGGTAAGAGTTGCAATGTGCTATAATAGCATATTGACAAAGAAACAAAGGGTCAAAGGTACTACAGTGAAACCTGTCTATAAAGACCACCCATGGGAGACAAGAAAGTGGTCTTCATAGGCAGGTGGGTCTTTGTACACAGGTGCCTATAGTACATGTTTCAACGAGAAATCATTTTCAAGGGAAACAAAAAAATGTAGTCTTTGTAGACAGGTGGTCACTAAAGCAGGTTTGACTGTATTTAGGTTAGGTGGGTATGGTTAGGTTTAGGTATAATGTTAGAACCCTGGGCTGAAGCTAACAATTTGGTTAGTATGAGATATTGGTCAAGGATTAATCATTGTCACCAAAGCATTTGTCATACCAATGAAAACCAAACAGGAGTTGCCTAATTTCCCCGTCTACCAATGTCTCTTCTATTGCAGTGATATATGACACAAATGTCTGTAGATTGAGCTCACAGACAAAACTGTATACTGTAAATGTAAATGCATGTGTAATATTCTAATCTGTGCAATTTAGTCATTTTTGTTTTATAAGATTTTATTGAATTTCCAATCTAAATTCTGTAAAAGTACAGACCAGATAAATAAACATTGATATTCAGGACTTTTTCTGTTCTAGTTTCCAGTGTCAACAAGCAATTAAAATGGCTTATTAAATAATTAAAATATAACAATTGAAGAATAAAATAATATGAATAATCAAAGAATACTTCTTGTATAGAGCATTATAACTCAAAAAATTCTCAACATAAATAAGGTAAAAAGAAGCAAAGTGAAGTGTTAAAGGAACTAAATATATTTGTTGTCAATAAAAAAGTAAGGGTTTGAATTGAATAACTTATACTTTGGCTGGCTTAAAAAGAAATAGAAATAGTTAAGCTAAAAGAGAGCAGTCTGAGTGCATAGGATGAAAGTACCAAAATTACTCATAAAATGTCAATTTTACATACCGGTATACATATCACTACATGAAGGTGTTTCTTTTCATTTGATATTATTTTGCTGGATCAATTGCACCACAGCTTGGAAAAAAATACATAATTAAACAAATTTAGGCTGACAAGGTCACAGAGGTTTAAGTGTAAATAAATGAAATGCTTATGCCCAGGTCTGAAGTCCAGTCAAGATAACCTTTTGAATCAGGACCAACTGATATGGGTTACTATCTAGAGTAATGTTTCATCTTTTGGTATTAGCCTTCCTTTGAGAGTTTAGCCTACTTCACCTTTATCTGATCTTAGATTGCAGGTACAATATCTTCATTCATAGCATACAACACAACTAGGTCATGGTATAGACTATTTGGTTTTTACAGCAGGGCTAACATACGTTGTGATGTAATTATTGCAATTTGCCGTTGATGTTGTATAGTATCAAGCGCAACTTTCCAGATCAAACGCAACTTCATGATAGATATACATGTATGACCAAACTCAAAGTTGCGCTTGAAAATCAAATGCAACTCTCATTATGCAATGCGCAGTTGCGTTTGATTGCAAGTTGCGTAAGATATTTGCATTTGATCTGAGGTGCGATCAATCGCACTTTGTCTTTATGCAAGAGGGCCCAGGTTTATTACTCTATAGGTACAGAGGCCAATGTTTAAAAAAGCGTACTAATTTCAGTCCAGGACCCCTTTGCATAAAACTTACTACTGATGGTAACTTTGCCATTAATGGTAAACTTCCATAGACACCTTGATTGGAATGGCTGTTGAGTGATGTTGCCATGGTAATTAATATTGATGGCAAAGTTACCATCACTGGTAAGATTTATGCAACAGGGCCCAAGTTTTAGTGGGTAAAGTTAACCTACTGATTTATGAAATACCAACTGTCATCCTCATCCTATCCCATGAAAATTACAATAATTGTGTATCTATATGCACAAACAATAATCAAGTTAATTTGAACTCATTTCTCCTTTCTATTTCATGACTGCAGTTGTTATGTTTATCGATTCTGTATCAGAATTACAATGATTTCTACAGAATAAAGACTGATACTTTGTGGTCCATAAATCAATTGACTACATTAAATCAGGTCTGAATCAGGTTTGAATTGGTCCACCTTTATGACTACAAGCCTGGATAAATGCCCCTGCTAATGCCCTTTCGCCAAGAAAACAAATAAAATATAACTTTTAAAAGAATTAAACTTGTACCTTCAATGCTAAACGTGAAACTGTACTTGTCTGGGGGTTGGTTTCCCGGCATTAGTTTTGGAAGACAGATGTCCGTTGATGTGAGGGCGTATTTGACTCCATTCGGCATGAACAAGTACCCTATCGACAAACTGATGAGAGAAAGGAGATATATCATTGAAAAAGAGATGAGGGTCTGTCACTTTGAGAATGATTATATTTCTATTACCGTAATTAACGGTGTATTAACCGCACCTTTTTGCGGTTATAATACTTCTCTTTTTTTTTAAAGTTTCGATTGATGCCCCTCCACCTGGCGCTATGCCTGGCAATGTCTCCCAGCTCGGTAATCGGTGTGTTGACTCACCACTCGGAAACCAGAACAACACTCAAATTTGTCTGTCATCTTGGTTTGAAAGTTATCTTTCTGATAGATCTCAATATGTAGTTTATAATAATAATTCCTCCAATTTTTCTTCTATTACATGGCGTACCACAAGGTTCTATCCTAGGTCCCCTTCTGTTTTTTAATTTACATCAATGATCTTACACACACACACAAAAAAAATCTTGGCAATTTTTTTTTTTTTTTTTTAAGGGCGAAAAAGAGGGGTGTGGTTAATACACGATTACGCGGTTAATACCCCCCCCCCCCCCCCCCCCCTCTTCAAAACCCATTTGGCATACCTCAAGTGAAAAACAAATCTTGCTCTCTTGTGCCACCTTTTGGAATGTTGTCTCTTTCACCATTCACAAAAAACCTGAATCTGACCTTGCTTTAGTTTCTATCGCAGATCACAAGTATAACGCTTCATCAGCAAAAGAATACTAGTAATAGAATTGCATCAGGTACATATCTTCACTTCAATTTTAAAAAATCTGGTAATGAATTTGGAAACAGATTAATTACTCTTCTGTTTCTCGTCATAGAAACATTAGTCGAACAAGAAGTAAGGTGTCCGAGAAATCTAACTCCCATTTACCGGTACCCATGTACAAGAAGGCATCACTATGCTTGGTAATACATATTTGACTCACTGAGAAAGGTAGCCAGGGATAGAGAATACTCCAACTTGAAAAGATGATCCATCCTAGAAAGAAAGAAATACGTGAAGAATTTTACATCAAAAGTATGAAATATCACCAAAAAAAACGATGGTCAATCATTATCTCTACAAATTTTGAAAAACCCTTTTAAATACTAATAATCTTTAAACTATGGAAAGCATAGAAAGGAGATGAACTAGATGGAACTTCGACTGCGCGCAGTCGAAATGATGCCTCCGTCATAGAGCAATTTACAAACCAAAACAGAAGAAATTTTTCAAATTCAAGTTCAATTGTAATCCATTAACAGGTTCTCAGAATATCGAATCACAAGCAATTTCTCATATACATATATGACCCTTTGATCTTTGACCTCATGACCCTAACATCTACTCAGTTCATTGGCTCCGCAAGATGTCCCGAGTTAAATAGTAATCCATCTGTCAGTTCTGATGAGAATGCGTTCACAAGCTATTTCTGCATACATAATGAGCCCATGACCTTTGACCTTTGACCTCATGACCCAAGAATCTACTCAGTTCATTGGCTCTGCAAGATACATACATGATCTAAGTTTGGCAGGAATCCATAAATCTGTTCTAATGATAATGCGATCACAAGCTATTTTTGCATACATAATGAGCCACATGACCTTTGACCTTGACCTCATGACCCCAAAATCTAATCAGTTCATCGGCTCTGCAAGTAACATACATGACCTAAGTTTGGCAGGAATCCATCAATCGGTTCTTGAGATAACGCGATCACAAGCTGTTTTTGCATACATAATGAGCCCTGTGACCTTTGACCTTTGACCTCGTGACCCCAAAATCTAATCAGTTCATCGGCTCTGCAAGATACATACATGACCAAAGTTTGGCAGGAATCCATCGATCGGTTCTTCAGATAACGCGATCACGAGCTGTTTTTGCATACATAATGAGCCCTGTGACCTTTGACCTTTGACCTCGTGACCCCCAAATCTATTCAGTTCATCGGCTCTGCAAGATACATACATGACCAAAGTTTGGCAGGAATCCATCAATCGGTTCTTCAGATAACGCGATCACGAGAACGGGACGTACGGACGGACGGACGGACGTACGGACGTACGGACGTACGGACGGACGGACGGACGGACAACCCGAAAACATAATGCCTCCGGCTACTTCGTAACGGAGGCATAAAAATTGTGTATAAATTCTGTATTAATATGCATCAAAAGCATGAAATTGAAGTGCCTTAAAAAAAATTGAAACATAACATGTTTACATCTTTAGTGTGATATATTTGGATTGTTTACGCATTACTCATAATTTATGCTGGCTGAATAGTTTGATATTTTAATAAATCATACATATAATAATTGATCTTTCACACAGAGCAGTATAAACCTGAATAATGGAACCTTACCTCAAGAACACCAAAGTGGAGAGCATAGCGGTAAAATGTGGCCCAGTCACGAACACCTACAAAAGAATGCAGTTAGATAATAATAATAATAATAATAATAATAATCTTTTAAAGTCCACTCCAAATTTTATTAAGTTAAACCAAAAATTTAAATTCTTTTTGCCCAATTGATCGTGAGCCCGGCAGCCACTGAGCAGCGCCAGGTCGACGTTGCTCTATCCCCTTTATTGTTGAACGCCAAACAAGGTAGCAGCAACTCCCGTCTTTTAACGTCTTTTGGTATGACACGGCCGGGGTTCGAACCCACGACCTCCCGGTTGTGAGGCGGACGCTCTACTGACTGAGCCAACACGCCGGTATGTATGTATCTACAGTTAACGACTGAATTCTTTATATGCCTTGTAAATTTGATGGTTTCTTGTGGGCTTGTTTGTAATACAAAAATAAATAAGTGGACTGGTTGAACTAGGACCTTTGTTAAATACTATTAGATGAAAGCTTTGATATGTCACTTTCTCAAGAAACATAAATCAGGAGAAATCGGTACATGCAATGAACCTACCATAAGAATGATCTCTGATGCCTCTCATGACGAGGGTCCTCTCATCATGACCTTCGACCTTGACCACACCCCTTAGAGTGCCGTACTGTTCATAATGTGTCTGGTGCATACTGTAAATAAAGAAGAGAAGCTCATTAAAACTTTATTTTCTTATTCCTAGATGCATAGGAACTGATCTCCAACAAAAACTGAAGAGAGCTAAAAAATATCATTCATATGTTTTCAACTCTAATTTGCATCTATTTATAGTTACGGTAGTCCCCTGCCATTTACCCACTAAAGTCAAGAAAATCTGGAAGTATTTTTTTTTAGAAACATGGAAGTTACAACTGTACATATGGGCCATCAATTTTAGGAAAGACAGATCATGAACTTACTAATTTACTTTTTTACAGTTATAACAAAATATTTATTTTGAGATAATAATGATACCTCTTTAGCTTCTTGAAGAATTCTCTATCCCAGAGTTCTTGTGCAACGTTTCCACTGTTATGCCAAGAATTCAGATCCGTGTCAAAGTTAAAGACAGGAGTGAAGGCTGCCCACCTGTATGACAAATACATAAGATACTTCAATAAGTCTTTTTCGTACTATCAAATTACTTATAATTTTTCTATTCACACCACTGTCTACGGTAATTATAGAGGTATAAAATGTATGATAATATAGATGAATCGCCGTTTGGTGTACAACCAGTTTGTTTACTACCCAATTAGTTTATTCTCATATAGTCTACACCCAGGCTGTCTACTATCCACATGGTTTAATAATCATTTGGTCTACTTATCATTTGGGCTAATGACCATTTAGACTAATAGTCATTTAGTCTATTGACCATTTAGACTAATAGTCATTTGGTCTAATGACCATTTAGGGTAATAGTAATTTGGTCTAATGACCATTTAGGCTAATAGTCATTTGGTCTAATGACCATTTAGGCTAATAGTCATTTGGTCTAATGACCATTTAGGCTAATAGTCATTTGGTCTAATTTCCATATGGTATAACATCCAGTTTATAGTCTACTACCCATTTGGTCTATTGTTCATTCATTCTTATAACCAGTGAGTCTTATTCCCAGTTTGTTTAATGCCCATATTGTCTACCATCCACAAGGTCTAAAAAAAACATTATTTTCATTGTTTCAATTATACAATTTTCACAGAACTGCGCCAGGAGTGTTATTTTTGACAGACATGGCGCATTATAAGTGTTCACTATTTGGCCTAAAAAAAAAAATTGATGACTCGGCGTAACGGGTCACTGAAAATTAGGGTAGGTAGGGCGATTTTTTTTTGTTTTGTTTTTTTTGTTGTTGTTGTTGTTGTTGTTGCTTATATTTGCATACATGAAATTAGCCATTCATACACATACATACATACAGTGGCGTAGATAGGTCCTCAGACCTTGGGGATGATCTGATGAGAGGGGAAGACCACAATATGTTCAAATAACTCCACGCACACACACACACATATATGGACACACACACTGTGTGAGCAAAGTGAGCAAGAAATTGTTGAAATCTTGATCACCTTGGGACCTGGGGATGCACACATACACCTGCCCCCCCCCCCCTGCATACATACCGTATTTGCCGGCGTATAGGCCGCAGTATTTTTGGAAGAGAAAATATCAAAAAGTCGGGGTGCGGCCTATGCGGCGAAAGAGTAATTTTTTTTTTTTTTTTTTTTTTTTTTTTTTTAAATTTTTTTTTAGTTTCGATTTATGGCTCTATGCCTGGCAATGTCTCCCAGCTCAGTAATCAGTGTGTTGACTCACCACTCGGAAACTACAACAACACTAAAATTTGACTGTCATCTTGGTTTGAAAGTAATCTTTCTAATAGATCTCAATATGTAGTTTATAATAATAGTTCCTCAAATTTTTTTCTATAACAAATGGTGTACCACAAGGTACACCACTGGTACCATAGGTACTTTATTGTTTTTAATTCACATTAATGATCTTACACATTCTTCTAAAAACGACATTGTTACTATTATTTGTGACAAGTTTACAAGCACAAATCAGCGCCTTTAACTGCACCTCGATGTAAAATGAAGGTCCTTCCACGCGTGGGTTTTCGGCAGCAAAACAACAACAACAAAACAAAAAACAAAAACAAATCGGGGGTGCGGCCTATGCGGGGGTGCGGCCTTTACGCTGGCAAATACGGTACATGTACATGTACATACACCCTCATGCACATAAAATGCAAACATACGAACGCATTAATAGGTTTCCATCAGACCCCAGTCTGAGATATCTCAGACACTGTCTTCAACAGGATAAACAGGTGAATATGTAGGTTTAGAAGGGGCTGTTCACAAATATTAGTATTTTCACAATGTATTGACTAGCATTTTTATAACTTGTCTAGAGGTTAACATGTTAACATGTTAACATGTATCCAAAATCTTGAAGAATGAGGGTTGAAAAGAGTAGCCAATTACAACTTGTGAAAATATTTACAATTGTGAATGGCTCTGTAATAACAAACAGTTAAAAAATGTCTCCAGTATTTCAGAATCCTTCATCAAAAAAAAAAAAAAAAAAAAAAATCAACAAAAAAAATGTAAAAAAAAAAAAAAAAAAAAGCGTAGGGTCGGCGATAAAAATAGGGTCGGGCGGGTTACGCCAAGTCGTCAATTTTTTTTTTTAGGCCTTATTTTTATTATTATTATTGGTTATTAGACCATCAGACACACAGCGCGCAATCTTCAAGGCCTTGAAGCAGCACTTTTTTTGGAAGAAGAAGAAGAAGGAGACCATAAGGATAGTAGACCAAATGGGCATTTAAACAAACTGAGAATTAGACTAGACGGAAATTAGACCAAATGAATATTAAACAAACTGGGAATTAGCACAAATAATAAGTAGCCGTAATGATTATTAGACCACGCGGAGAGTAGATGGGCTGGGTGTAGACAGTATTGGAAAAGACCAATTGGATAGTAGACTAACTGGTTAGTCCAGACGGTTATAAACCATAATACAGTCAAATCAGTCTTACTCCCTCTCTATAAAGGCCACCTGTCCATAGACGTCATGTATTTTGTCTCCTTACCGAGAGAAATGTGTGTTGGAGGGCATGTCTAAGAAGGCCACCTGTCTACAGTGGCCACTTTTCCTGCTTCCCTTGGGTGACCTTTACAGGCAGGTTTGACCGTACCGTGTTTCATAATAACTTTCTTTACCTCAAATGACAACATTTTTCTTTATCCAAACAGAGTTTGGACAGGCAATAATTTGACCTGTGTTTTAAATTTCAAACAGTTTGACATGAAGGCTCTCAAAAGAGAATGTCTATATTGTATTCTCTTGGTGGATTGTACAAAAGAAAGTGCTCTCAATCTGTCTAAAATGAAGCTGCTATTTACAAACGATTGCATACTCACATGAATGAGCAGCGAACATGAATGAGGGGCCTTTCATCCGTACTCCTTATATTTTCCTGGAATCCAACTCTGCAAAAGTCAAGGTTGAGAAAAGATATTGTTAAGAAGTGGAATGTAACAAACTTCTTATGGGATGTAGGCCGGATCCAGAATCCTTGAAAATTATGACCCAGGAGTGAACAAATTTAACATAAAGTGTAATTGTCTAGTTACAAACTGTGGTCATCTTGCTATAAGGTCTTGAACAAGTGAGGACACTTTTCACAATCCAAAGTAACCTATAACCAATTTAACTTAAATAAATCATATAGCTTAACTCTTGAGTGGAATTTGACGCCAGGGCCCTGTATTACAAAGATTTGATATCAATCGCAACTTTAACTATATGTACATAAGAGATAGGAGATTGCAAACTTGTGATTGATCGGAGGAGGACTTCATATTAATTTGGATCAATCACAACTCTTTGTAAGACAGGGCCCAGATCAGTTAGTTTATGAGCCGATATCTCATGCAAAAAACCATAACACTGCACAACAGTTTTAATATCTTACTAGCTATATGATTCCTTTCCTAATACTTAAAAAAATAAAATAAATGAAGACATACTTGCAGAGACCATTGTAAGAGATCCTCCAGAGTTTCATGGGTTCTAAGACCTCCATCGTGAGTCCGCCAGCCCTGAACCCAGAAGACAGGTCACCTTGGACCACACAGTCTGGGTACTGTGGATGGACCAGGTCTCCAATGCCAGGTAGACCAAGAATGAACCAGCAACTCCTCTCACCATTGGGTCTAAGTCCAATCCTGGCCACCAGCCATTCCCCAGTAGGACTGACGCCGAATGTGTAAACCGAGTTGAAAGCCTGTAAAACATTTTGACATAGACAGATGGAGACAAATGAAGATCATTGTCAATTTTTGCATCAATTGGCTATCTCTTTCTCTCATGAACTGCTGTCGCGATCTTGAAATAGTTGACTTTTAAATTAATTGTGAAAAAATTGGTCTTAAAAATTATTTGAGGCAAGATTATATGAATGATTATGTAGTTTATGTAAGTTTGTTGTAATTACCCTTTTGATTATTTTGTATACGGGGTTGGATTGGTGATATTTAAAGAATTTGCACCACAGTAAAACTACTACTTTTGTATGGCGGAGTATAAGAACTCACATTTGGTCTGTCAGCAACTTCCGTCACATATTCCAAGTCTTCTTCTTTCTTGGTCGATAGCTGCCCATAGCCGGCTCCTGTCTGTCCTTTTGCATCTTTATCCCCTCGTTTACTTCTCCGTTTCCTCAACAAGATGGACATATAGATGAAGGTTCTCTTTAGAAAGAACCACTGACCTGGCTGGGCATAGATACCATCTATAGGATCAGGTGCGATGGACAGTGCGTTCCAAAGTACGACTGCAATGACAGAGCATAAGCAAACTGCTAGGAGTGGGACTGAAGCTAACCATCCAGTGTCATCGCTACTCAGGTCCATGGTGATACGGGTCTTCGGTTTTCAGTTGGCTCTGTGATGAAATGAGATGAAATTAAATTACGTATTAAAGGCATCGTTTAACAATGTTTAATCTCGGATGCATGGCCCTACGTGTCGTCAGTGTCTGTGATATGGTGTAATATTGAAGCTCTAAAAAAATCGCACTTCAAAATGATCATGAAGTGCCTCAAAAAAGTAAAAATCTTTGAGTGACCGATTTTACCTTACTCCTTTTACCCAATAGCCTGTAGTGTTACGAAAACCCTCAGGAAAACGGTTTCTGAAATTTCCATTTTCAATCACGAATATCTTAATAATCAGACATGCGATTGGCCAATTGTGAAAGTCATGGGATTCATGTATGACCCAAAGGTTTATAATTATGATTGCAGCATGAGCTAAATCAAGGATTTCTTTTAAGGATCTGAGACAAAGTTACTGGATCCCTTTAAATGATATGCATGCAATACTAACAGTATATTATCCTTGCTTAACTATAGCTCTACTGCAATTCTAGGACCCTCTCCCCTCCTCTGGTCACGTCTATACCATCCCTAAAAACTATCTTCCTAGGACAGATTGAAAATGGAAAAAAAGACAGATATATCACAAGGAGTATTATCGTACTACACTGGGGTTTCCCCCTACTCTTATACGAATAGTGCAGTGGGTGCTTAGCATGCAAAGGTACTGACTTTAATCTACACGGGGCCTCCATTTTCCCTTTACTTCTCTCTCCCTCTCTCTCTCTCTCTCTCTCTCTCTCTCGCTCTCCCTCATAACTCTTATCTCTCTTTCTCTATCTCCCTACTCTTTTCTGTCCTCTCTCTACACTTCCCTCATCTTTCTCTACCTCTGCCCTCCCCTCATCTCTCTCTCTCTCTCTCTCTCTCTCTCTCTCTTTCTCTTCCTTGCCTTTTTCTTTCATTCTTCCAACTTCGACCCCGGCCTTGTCTGATTGAATTTATCTTTCACCTTCTTCAGTATGATACCATTATTGAAATTCACCCAATACATGTTCATAGTCTGGTTCTGAAATATAGTATGTTTAAATCTTTAGTGTGATATTTTGATAGTTTATGATTTACTCACATATTCTGTATATCAGTATGTGCCATTCCAATTTCCTAAAAAGTATAACTTCATTTATTGTATTTTAACTTTTGTAATCTGTATGAATGGCATTGAATGTGGCACTATAATTTTGCATACCGGTAATTCTCTTTCTACCCCCCCCCCCTTCTCAGTCTCCCAGTTACCTGTTTCTTACCTTTTACTTTGGTTTCCACTATCCTCTTGATTCCCTCTTTTCTAACACTCCTTTTCTCCTACTTTCCTTCTACCCTCCTTTTTTGCTATATCTCTCAGTGCAATATATGTGAACATAGTTTGACCCTGTTTTAAGAACACTATCTTTTTTATTTTGATTGCCGTATTGTTTTTATGTTTTAATGTTCTCACATTGAATGTCATTGTTACAACATTGATGAGCAAGTTCAGTTGATTTTAACATGTAAACTGGATATAATTCCACCAACGGGCTGCCAGGTTCAGTATTTTAATAAACTGTAAATCAATATCTTTACCGTAAATATAACAGACCTTTCAGTCTTCTGACTCGATGATAGATGATCGGGAGTATGAGCTGAATCAAAGCTACATTTTAAAAAAGGTTGAGCACAAACAGGCACGGTTGAGCATTTTCCAAAATGGGCTGGGAGGGGGGGGCACCAGCAAAATAGGGCACTCTCTGTAATATAAGGGCTACCTACAAAAGGAAACATCAACATGTAAATCTACCATATTTAAATATTGGTGTATACCCCTACATTTTTATGATTGTGATTACATTATCAGGGATGATTCCAATATTTGTTTCTCTCTTGACATGGTCCAATAAACTGTTTAAACCTTGCAGTTGGGTGTGATGGTCTGAATATAGAGAAAATTTAAAGATTTGTGACGTCGCAGCACGAAAAGTTTTATATTGAGAAAGACAACAACAAATCCCGATGAGTTTTAAGCACAATTTAATCATGAAAGACTGAAAACACATTTCATAAATAACACAGTTAAACCAATAAATACGGGCGAGCCCTGGGGGGATAAATAAAAAAGTTGCTCTAAGATGCTCTATAGGGGCCTATGTTATGAAAAAGGAAAAGGGGTACTTTTCAGATAGAAAAAGTACACTTATTAGGAAAGGAAAGCAGACGGGAAGAATTGTGTAAATAATAAAAGGTACACGTAAGTGATATATTAAAGCTTTCACTACGGTACATAAAACTCACACTCTCCCCAATTTTATGCAACAAAGGTTGTCTTGGGAACCACTTCTATCTTCATGGATCGGTGCAGGGGAGAGCCTTATAACCTTTGCTTTTCTTGCTATACATTGTTACCTTTCTTCGCTCCAGTGATCTTGAGGCAGCAGACAGCAAGAAAGTTTGTAAATAATAAAAGGTCCATGGGAGTGGTTGTTATATTAAAGCTTTAACTACATAATGACACACTCTCCTCAATTTTACACAACAAAAGGATGTCTTGGGAACCACTTCTATCTTTACGGATCGGTGCAGGGGAGAGCCTTAACATTTGCCAGGAGTCTTAAAAAGGATAAATCCTCCACTAAATAAGGATTCTTGGCTTTCTTGCTATACATTGTTACCTTTCTTTGCTCCAGTGATCTTGAGGCAGCAAGGAATTGTGTAAATAATGAAAGGTCAATGGGAGTGGTTGTTATAAGCTTAAACTACATTAAACTAACACTCTCCCCGATTTTACACAACAAAAGGTAATTGTCTTGGCAGGAACCACTTTTATCTTTGCGGACGGGGTGCAGGGGGAGGGCCTTTGCCGGGTATCTTTGGGCAGAGCCCAAGGAATTCCTTTAATTTCAATTCAAAATAGTTGTCACGAGCGATAGAAATTCTGTTATAATTTCCTCCTTTCATTTCATTTTAGAAATAACCTCTATTTTCATAATATGTCCCTTTATCAGCCAACATCAAATTCTGTAAAACTTGTTAAATGCTAATGGGTATTGACCTCTAGCACTGCACTATATGCTAAGAGGCAACAATTGCACACATGAATAGTCAACACACTTATTGCACACTAATGCACACAATCAAGACGATGTGGCTGATTGGCAACTTTGACAGTAGACTTACAATTTGAATTATTAAATTATTCTTTCTAACATCGGTAAGTTGAAAACATTGTATTTTACTGCTATTTCGGCATCATCAATTGTTACTAAAGTACCTATTTTGAGTGAACTCAGTTGAGTTTTGTACAGCTAGTAGTGTTTCAAATGTTGAGAATCAATAGATCAGCTTTTAATACACAGCCAGGCCGGGATAGTAATGCAGCTAAGTGTGATTTTCACAAGAAACAAAAACTTATAATTTATGTCACAGGTGGGACTGAGCCCGAGGTGAAGTAAAGATCGTCAAGGCCAAGGTTAATACAAATTTTCATATCGCATATGTACGTATCAATCATTCAATGACATGTATGTGATCGATGGCAACAGGATTTATGCATAATGATGTGCAACTTACCAGTTCTGTTTTAACTCAGCTTCAACCTTCGATCGCCTGACAAAAACAGCAGACTGCCTCAGCTCAGCTCACTGAACCGTCCTAGCAACTTCGTAGTAGAACTAGAACTAGCAATTCTTCAATGTATGCTGACATGACTGTCATGCACCAGCTGATCGGTGTATGCGCGCGCGCCCAATCGGCCACCGATAGGCCACGCCTTCTTTGTCAACTCTTGAGAGTTACTTCTTTGAGAAAGTGGGAGCGGTGGTGGGGCGGTAGAAAGGGATGGAGACAGGGGCGTCGCCAAGGGGGGGGGGGGTGTGGGGGTGCGACACCCCTCCACCTGTCAGGATATTGTCGGTAAAATTGCGCTGCCGTCGGGAAAAAAGAGAAAAGGGGGATGGAAAAAAGAGAGGGGAAAGGGAAAGAAAAGAAAAAAGAAAAGGAAAAGAAAAGAAAAGAAAGGAAAGAAAAGAGAAAGGAAAGACAGAGAAAAAAGAAAAAGAGGGAGAAGAGGAAAGAAAGGGAAGAAAAGGAAAAAAAGAAGAAAAAAGAGAAAAGGGAAACAAAAGAAACGGGGGTGAAGAGAGGAGAGTGGGGGAGGTAAGAGCCTGGGAAGGAGGAGTGGGACTAAAAGAAAGGGGGGTTGTGTCACTGGCGTACCTATGGGGGGGCAGGGGGGGCAGAGTGCCCCCCCCTGACGGGCTCCAGGGGAAAAAGAAAAAGGGGAAAGAAAAGAAAAGAAAGGAAAGGAAAGAAAAAGAAAAAAGGAAAAGGGAAGAAAAAAAGGAAAGAAAGAGAAAAAAGGAAAAAAAGGAAAAGGAAAGAAAAAAGGAAGAAGAAGAGGAAAGGAAGAAAAAGGGAAAAGAATAGGAAAGGAAAAAAATGGGGGAAAAAAAAGAAAAAAAAGACCATGGCCGTACGCACCAGGGGGGGGGGGCAGTTGACCCCAGATATTTTGAAAACGTACAGTTTTTTTCTTGAAAATGTAGTGTAGGCCTATACCAAATCCTTCAATTCTACTTTTGAAAATGCAAAAGTACCCTCATGACTAGTTCGGTCGCTCGAACTCCCTTCACTCCTTTTGCTTCTGAGATTCTTCGAAAACTTTTAACGCATCTTTCCCCCTCCCCCACCAGAAAAATATTCCGCATACGGCCCTGAAAAATTAAGACAAATGAAAATAGGAAAATATAAGTGATATAACAAATTCGAAACTCTTCGCTGGCACGAACTGCTTGCTAGCCTATTTTGTATTAAATGTTTTCACTTGCTCGTCCCCCTGAAAAAAGAAAAGAATTAGCATTGCCTAGAATACAATTGTGCCTGCCCCGACGGGCCCCGACCTGCAACCATGACAACAATAACACACAATGTATGTACCAAATGTTACTAAAAGAGACTAATTCATTTTTCTCGCTCGCTACACTCGCTCGCGAATAAAATGAATTGAATCGCGTTGAACGCGATTGCGTCCATCCTGACCTGCACCAATAAAAACAAGTTTATTTATTAATTTCTATTAAAAGAGAATTTTTTTTTTTTGCTTGCTCGCTATGCTCGCTCGCCAAAATGAAATTGACACCGCTAACGTGCCCGCCCCAACCTGCAACAACCAGTTAATAATTATGTACCAAACGTTATTCAAAGAAGTTTTGGTGTGCTCGTGCTCGCTAAAACGGAATTAACATCACCTTAGACATGATTGTGTAAGCCCTGCCCTGCAACAAAAAAATCTGAAATTTATGAACCAACTATCATTACAAAAATTTTGCTCGCTCGCTACGCTCGCTCGCCAAAATAGAAATAACACCGCTTTTAATAATCACGTCCCTGACATGGAACAATGAACCCAAGTTTATGTACCATATTTTCCCTATAAAAGAGAAGTGATTTTTTTTTCGCTCGCTCGCCAAAATAGAAATAACACCGCTTTAAATAATCACGTCCCTGACATGGAACATTGAACCCAAGTTTTATGTACCATATTTTCCCTATAAAAGAGAAGTGGGTTTTTTTTCGCTCGCTCGCTACGCTCGCTAGCTCGTGGAATTATGTGCCCACCACTAACTTGCTACAATATCATTAAAAAGAGAAATGTAGAGGGTTGCCTGCCCGCCAAAATGGGATTGACATTGCCTTAAACACGATTGTGCCCGCCCCCGACCTGCAACAATGAAACAAATTTTATATAGCAATTCATTGAGAGAAAGATGTATTTTCGCTCGCTAGCTAAAATGGGTATAAAATTAGCCTAAACACAATATTGTTCCCGCGCCCTGCATGGAACAATTGAACCAAAGTGGCAATTATTAAAAAAGAAGTGATTTTTTTCTTGCTCGCTACGCTCGTTTGCAAAAAAATGAAATTAACGTCGCTAACAAGTGAATGTTCCCACCCCCAACTTGCAACAATACCAGTTTATATACCAAACGTTACTTAAAGATTTTTTTTGCTCGCTCGCTCGCCAGAAGTGAAAATTAGCATCGCCTTTTTTGTTTGTTTTGGTCGCTTGCCCCCCCCCCCCCCTGACGGAGTACCCCAGGTACGCCACTGGTTGTGGGTGGAGTCGTCTCGTCTAGGAAGAAAGAAAGACATGAGTAAATATGTTGCTGTGTCGGTATTCTTGCTCGATCCTCGTGTACTATATCAATGCAGAAGTTTGAAGTCGGTGAGATGTATATTGTCGGTCGGCCGACAAGTTTTTTCCCCTACGAACTGTGACTTTTTATCCGCTGTGACGATTTCGAGAGTGGCTACAACTACAATACTTGTATTTTCTCGAAGTTTCACTTTCCTATAATATCAGCTAAAGAAATCAGAGGTTTAAAAATTTTCGGGAAACTAATTCAAACAAGGATTAAGAGTCAACAACGGTACGACGAATCGTCTTCCTTTCTCTATATTTTGATGAAACGCAAAAATTTCCGCGCTTCGCGCGGGTGGGGAAAACTTCATTTAGACGAGTCGAGAACGGTACAACGAATCGTTTTTTTTCTCTAATAATTTGAGGAAACGTCTAAGCTTCTGCGATTCGCGCAGAGGGGGGGGGGGAACTGAATTTAGATAAGGATTAAGAGTCGAGAACAGTACAACGAATCGTTTTCCATTCTCTTTATTTTGATGAAACGCAAAAATTTCCGCGCTTCGCGCGGGAGAGGAAAAGTTCATTTAGACGAGTCGAGAACGGTTCAACGAATCGTCTTCTTTCTCTCATAATAAGGAGACGTCAAAGCTTCCGCGCTTCGCGCAAGAGGGGAGAAACTGAATTCAGATAAATAGAGCTTAATAAGAGTCGAAAACGGTGCAACGAATCGTCTTCTTTCTATAATAATTAAATCAAACGTCTAAGCAACTTGCGCTGGAAGGGGGAAAACTGAATTCAGACAAGGATTAAGAGTCGAAAACGGTACAACGAAACGTCTGCTTTCTCTAATAATTTAAGGAAATGTCAAAGCTTCCGCGCTTCGCGCTAAAGGAGGAAACTGAATTCAGACAATTAGGGCTTATTAAGAGTCGAGAACGGTACAACGAATCGTCTTCTTACTCTAATAATTGAATGAAAAGTCATAACTTCCGCGCTTTGCGCGGGAGTTTTCGGGAAATTTCATTCAGACAAGGATTAGGACTCGAGCACGGTTCAACGAATCGTCTACTTTCTCTAATAATTTAATGAAACGTAAAAACTTGCGCGGGAGGGGGGGAAACTGAATTCAGATACGGATTAAGCGTCGAGAACAGTAGGCCGACATCGAATCGACTGCTTTTTCTCATAATTTAATGATGCGTCAAAGCTTCCGCGCTTCGCGCGAGAGGGGGAGAAAAGGATTAAGAGTCGAGCACTGTTCAACGAATCGTCTACTTTCTCTAATAATTTAATGAAACGCAATAACTTCCGCGCTTCGCGCGGGAGGGGGGGGATCTGAATTCAGATAAGGACACCGAATCGTCTGCTTTTTCTCATAATTTAGTAAAACGTCAAAGCTTCCACGCTTTGCGCGGGAGGGGGAGAAACTGAATTTAGACAAGGATTAACATCGAGAACGGTACAGCAAATCGTCTACATTTTATAATAATTTAATGAAACGTCAAAGCTTTCGCGCTTCGCGCGAGAGGGGGGGGCAGTGGCGGATCCAGGGGGGGCCCGGGGGGCCCGGCCCCCCCCCCCCTTGAGAAAAAAATCATGTAAAATCACGTGATTTTTACCTTTTGGGGGGTTGGGCCCCCCCCCCTGGCGCTCAAGGGGGGGGTGCAAATTGAAATTTTTTTTGAGGATCAAAAAAAAAAAATGTGCTCACTACCCCCCCCCCCCCCCCCCCCCCCCCCCCCCCCCCCCCCCCCACTGAGCGGATTTTTGGCCGGCGCGGTTTTCAAATTTTTGGGAGCAAAAAAAAAAAAAAAAAAAAAAAAAAAATTGTGCTCTGTACCCCCCCCCCCCCCCCCCCCCCCCCCACTGAGCGACTTTTCGGCCGGCGCGATTTTCAATTTTCGGGAGCAAAAAAAAAAAAAAAAGTTGGGCCCCCTCCCCTAAGAAATCCTTGATCCGCGGCTGGGGGGGGGGCCTCAATCAGACAAGGATTAACAGTCGAGATCGGTACAATAAATCGTCTTCTTTTCCTAATAATTTAAGGAAACATCTAAGCTTCCACGCTTCGTGCGGGAGGCCTAACACCGACCAGTGGCGGATCCAGGGGGGCCTGGGAAAAAAAAGAAGGAAAACAAAAAGAAGGGGGAAAAGGGGGAAAGAGAGAGAGAATGAGAGAGAGAGAGAGAGAGAGAGAGAGGGGGGGAGAGAAGGAAAAGGAGGGAAAGAGGAGAGAAAGGGAAAGAAAGAAAAGGAAGAAGAAAAGAAAAGGGGGAAGAAGGAGATCGGGGGGCCTCGCCTCCTAGGCTGTTGCCTCCCCCCCCCCCCCCCCCCCCATCAAAAAAATAAGAGAGAAGGAAGGAAATGGAAAGACAAAAGGAAAAGAGGAGATAAAGGGAAGGAAATTGGGGGAGAAGAAAAGAAAAGAAGGGGTATTAGTTGCAATTTGCCCGCCAACAAGTTTTTGATCAGGGTGGGGGTGGGGCAAAAGGCCCTTGCCTCCCCCCGCCCCCGCTAAAAAAAGAGGAAGGAAGGAAAAGGAAAAAACTAAAGGAGAGTTAAAAGGGACCGAAAAAGAGGAAGAGAAAAAAAATGGTGAAAAGAAGGGGAAATTGATCATTTGCGGTTAATCCCGCCAACAACGTGTGTATAAGGGTGGGGGCCAAACAGGACCTTGCCGCCCCCCCCCCCCCAGCAAACCTAAAAGAGAGAGAAGGATGGGAAGGAAATGGAAAGGGAAAGAGGAGAGAAAGGGAAAGAAAAAAGAGAAAGAAGAAAGGTAGGGGAGATCAGTTGCGATTTTTCCGCCAACAAAGTGTAGATCGGGGGAGGGGGGGGGGGGCTCGGGGGAAATTTAATCGTGGTTTATTTCTAATTCCATAACGGTGGTTTACACATAATGCTGAAATGACATAATTTTCCGAGATTTTTCTCATTTTTTAGTAAATTAAAAAAAATTATGCGTTTGTTGTAAAATGACAAATTCCTAAATTTACAGCCAGGCAAGAAATATGCCTCTTGAGATGCCTATATGTCAGGGCCCGCGGAACGGCGGGGACCCCCCCCCCCCCCCCGAATTTTTTGAAAAAGAATATTAAAGAGAAATAGAAAGAAAGAGAGCAAGAAAGAAAGAATAGGTCCCCGGGACCTAACTAAGGGCCCTAAGGCGGGCACCTTGATACTCATCTGACCGCAATTTAGTGCCTAAAACCCTTAAGCTTCTGGGGGCTCCGCCCGCTGGACCTCACGCCAATCAGTGTTTTGCCAGTGTCACAAATAAGGTATAAAAATATGTTCATCTGACCGTAATCAAATGCCTAAAACCCCTGAGTTTCCGGGGGCGGACAAGGTATCGAAATATGTTCGTCTGACCGCAGGCGCGTAGCTAGGGGGTGGTGGGAGCGGCCCCCAATAAAAAAAGCCTGCCAAAAAAAAAAAAAGGATAGAAAAGTAAGAGGACGTAGACCCTAGGAAGAAAATGGAGCAGACAAAAATATTTTTGAAATTCAGACAAGGATTAAGAGTCGAAAACGGTACAACGATCGTCTTCTTTCTCTAATAATTTAATGAAATGACAAAGCCTTCGCGCAGGGGGGGGGGGGGGGGAGGGACTGAACTGACACAAGGATTAAGAGACGAGAACGTTACAGCGAATCTTTTTTCTTAAATAATTTTAATGAAACGTCAAAGCTTTCGCGCTTCGCGCGGGAGGGGGAGGGGAGGAACTGAATTGAGACAAGGGTTAAGAGTCAAAAATGGTAATACGAATCGTCTTCTTTCTCTAATAATTTAATGAACCGTAAAAAGCTTCCGCGCTTCGCGCGGGAGGGGGGGGGGGGTAAACTGAATTCAGACGAGGATTATTTTCGAGAACGGTACAACAAATCGTCTTCTTTCTCTATATTTAATGAAACGTAAGCTTCCGTGCTTTGCGCTGGAGGGGGTGGAAACTGAATTCAGACGAAGAATAAGAGTCGAGAACGGTACAACGAATCGTCTTCTTTCTCTAATGATTTAATGTAACGTAAAAGCTTCCGCGCTTTGCGTGGGAGGGAGGGGAAAATCGCCCCTTCCTGCACCCCCCCCCCCCCCATTACGTCAACGCTGGTCACCATTACGTACCAATATTTGGCTCGAAAAGGGCCATTTCGATGCGAAAATAATGTGGGCCCTAACAAAATAAGTACCCAGCAGTGGCGGATCCAGGGGGGGGGGGGGCCCGGGGGGCCCGGGCCCCCCCCCCCTTGAGAAAAAAATCATGTAAAATCACGTGATTTTTACGATTTTTGGGGGTTGGGCCCCCCCCCCCTGGCGCAAAAAAAAAAAAAAAAAAAAAAAATTGTGCTCTGTACCCCCCCCCCCCCCCCCCCCCCCCCACTGAGCGACTTTTCGGCCGGCGCGATTTTCAAATTTTCGGGAGCAAAAAAAAAAAAAAGTTGGGCCCCCTCCCCTAAGAAATCCTGAATCCGCGCCTGGTACCCAGTCCTACCAATAGTGAAATGTGCATATTCATTTGCATCTGATTTGCCCCTATATAGGTTCAAAGTTCCGTGAGAAAGGCAAATAACCTGGAAGTCTTAGACATATTGAGCTTTAAATATTTAGTTTTGTGAGAATTATTTTCCATCATTTCAGCCCCTGTATACCCCTCCCGCGAAGTATGAAGCCAAATGCAGGATGTATAGGTGATCTTCGATGCCAGCATCCCGTGCGGCAAAAAGTACTTCTTTTAATTAAATAAGTTGCCCTCATTCGTGCGATAAAATAGGTGACCCCCACGACGTAAATTTGCCCCTCACTAAATTTTGTCTGATGTGCCCCTAGTTCGAATTGGAAAAACAGATGCTCTTTTGTCAAAGGAAGGCAGTCTTTCAATAGTTTTTTGTTCGTTTTTCTGTCACTGCAGTTTTTTTCCCCTACACAATTCTTACATAGCACTTTTGTCTAGACGATATTTGATACATCTTTAAAAACATTTTCATTGTCATTTATTTAGTCCACCATCCAGTTACACAGCCTGTAAAGATTTCTTTTCAAAAATGGTCTAGAAGGTGCGGCTATCAATCCATCAAGATGAAATTTACGAGAATATAAAATAAAAAGGGCTCGTGACGCATCAATTGATTTTGTGTTTTTGTTTCACCTCATAATGGTCGTCTTTCCATGGCGGGCGGAATCAATATCAACAGGATAAAATTATTTATTGTCAAGCAATCATCAAACGTACATTCATACTTTTTTTAATTTTTTTATATTTTTATTCAATTGCAGTTTTTACTTTTACAGGGTAGCATTTTCAGTTACAAAAACGCTTTCCACTGCATGGTCCTATTGGCCTAGACAATATTTGATGAAAGATTTAATTTTATAGAAAAATTAATTTCCAAGCTCTATAATTATACATGTATCCAATAAGGATTTAATGCAAACTAAGAATAAGCTATCGAATTCAAAAACTCTTGTTGAAACTTACAAAAAGTAAACAAAACCAAAACCAAAAGGCAAACGAATAAACAACAACAGCAGACAAAACAGCCTAAAACTATAATATAAACCAAACCATACTCTTGAAAACTGACATCATTACGGGAAGAAAAAATGACAACAGGGCTCTCCCGCCTGTCCGTTATGATATATCCATGATAACTTAAAACAGTGAGTCAGTACATTCATCAAACAAGGATTATATAAAACGTTAGTTAATGATGGCTCAATCAAATATATTTTTGAGCAAAACCTTTGTTTCCTAAGTTTTGTCCCGTCTTCTTTTCTGATATATCATCGCCCGCCCTCTAGTGCTGACTTGGTTAATAATTACATGAAACCTGTCAATATGGTTTACGTGGAACAGTAATATTTCTACAGAATTTTGATGTTTTGAACTGTCTAGATCATATTTTGAGAGTGGAAACACATCGTCATGGCTTCCAGAAGTTTAACAGAAGTGTTCATACTAATGAGAAATAATGCAGCGCAGAACAGACACATATATTCGGACCATGTAAGTACCGGCTAATTTTCAAACGCTTTCTGACTTGACACCGAACGCTCAGATTATTTTGCCCTGGCCTGTCGGCGCAGGTAAAGTCACGGAGCTGCTTTGCGACTTGAGGCTGCAGGATACTCACGGTCTTTGTTTCAATATGTTTTGACGTCTACCAAACAACATTTTAATGATACAAATTTTGAAGCATATGAACGCAGTGATAGCAAGAACATTATCAGGGTATGTTACATGTAGAGGAGACCTAGACTCTAGTTTAATATTTAAATGTCTAACTCTGAATGATTGAACGTCGTGGACCTTCCTTTCATTAGACTAGACTAGCTCTAGACAGAAATAACCGTGTGATATGGGTCATTTCTTTAATAAAACTGACATTTGTTGACATTCCCCATATACAGAAGGTAATCTAGACGACTCGCATCGGGGGATAGATTGGCCAATTTCGTACCTCTTTTTACTCGGACGAGTCAGAGACTCTCTCCCCTGATTTTCAATATTTAGAGTCTAGATCTAGATCTAATTTTCTGATTTATAAATCAGATAGAAAAAAAATAGGAATATTTTTATCCTATTTACATTTATGCATCTTTTTATTTCTTATTTCTTATTTCAAAATGTGAAACCTACGGACTTACTTAGATCTACATGTACAGTATATGAGTTATCCAATTTTTATCTCAGAACCGTGAGACGGCACGTTCATCCATTCAAACTAGTAATCTAAGACATGACCCGGCTGATATATTTCCAGGTCAACCTACCAAAACATAGCGAATGGCCAATCAGAGCACTCATTTAATGTTGGGTTTATGAATAGTCATATTACTGGGTCAAGCCAGGCTGACTAGTATGTAGCTATTGGACGTTCGCAAAGAATAAATGAATATTCATCAACTAAAACCAAGTGGGATGACAACGAATCATGTTGACTACGAGACTTTCCCAGATTAATCATTACTTTAGGATCTAAATGAGCTAGCTATCGTAAGTCAAAGAAAATATTTCTATGTTATTTTTTATTTTTCAATATAATTATCAGGCCTTAAATTTCGTCATTTTTAGGGCAAGGCCAGTTTGGCCTCGAGTACCTCATATTTTTAAGGGCACCAAGGCCAAAATATTTTTACAAAAAGGGCATCGAGGCCAAAATATTTTACAAAAAGGGCATCGAGTATGAGGCCAAAAAAATTGATTCTATTTTTGTTAGATGTCATGTGTATTTTATGAAACTTGTGCAGGATCAATTTCCCATGACTTTTAGCACCAGCTTCTTCACAGAATGTATAGAGGTCTACGGTACATACAAACAAGCAGGCGCGTAGCCACCCGGGGGGGGGGGGGGGCACATGCCCCCCCTAAAATTTCCAGGATCGGTTGAAATTTTGTAGACCCCTTTTTTTTACCTCGATCGATTACATGTATGTGCCCCCCCAAACACCAAACTCTGGCTATGCGCCTGCAAACAAGGCGGCGGCCCGCAAGCCTTAGATTTAGCAGCCAGGAGCAAGGGGCAATTTTTTTTTAAGTTGCCCTTTGCCACGGGAATTTACCAGAGCAAGGGGCAATTTTCCAAAAACAGATAGGCCGCTTATCTAATCATAAGTTCAAAGAGAGTCTACAAATGTTAATTTCATAATGTGAATAGATCGAACGATCAATTTAATAACTTTTTAATCTTAACAATATGAACAGGAAAGATTGATTAAGAACATCAAACTTGCACATTAAACAGTATTTTAAAGTAACTAAAAATATTGATGAGCAAATGAATAAATAAATTGTCAATTTCACAAACATCGAAAGTCAGAAAGACTTAATTGGCAAGTTTACCGGGCCGGGTATTCAAAATCAAAATCGCACCTCACACACAAACCTTCCGCCATTCTCTCGGTAGTAGGAGCAAATTTGAAGAAATTATCTTTTTAACTGTTGTATAGAAAGGTCTACATAGATCTAGGCCTAACTAATGAAATAAGATGTAAAAATGTCCTTATACTACATTCGACAGCTGAAAGTGACACGCTCAGCTCAGTTGCGTAACGTGCATTCACGAAACCAAAATCGTTCCTCGCACACACACTCTCGCCACTTTTGGTGGGAAGCTGTCGGGCTGGAAGTTTGCCAGCGAAACCGATGCACCCTCGGAATTTTACCGGGACTCGAAACGTTCGTCTTGGGAAGCTGGCGGGGTAGCTTTTTGAAGCGAGGTCGGCAGGTGGCAAAATGAGAGTAACTACGATCGAGAACATCGTAGATGTTCTTAACTTATTAATAAGATAATTCTAAATTCTATTTGAGATAAAATAATAAACTAGGCCTACAAACAAACCTCGACAGATCTCTAATGACTATTTGAATGCTTGTTTATTTCTCCATTTGACGATTTGTTTTCTTGATCCTGGCCTTCGATTTGTACGTACGTGCGTGCGTCAACAGCATGCACCATATGCATATCATGCGATCGCATAATATGAACGTACGTACGTACGTGCGCTAGCGGATTGCCTATATAATAACAAAGGGCGCATTTTCACAGCACTTGCGCCTTATTAAAGCACTAAATACGAAGCTAGAAGAGAGCTCGTGGGCGGCAAACTGTTCGTGATTCGTGTATTTTTACTGTTCTAATAATTTATGGGCGCATTTTCACGGAAAACACTTGCGTCTTGCCGTCTAGTTTTAGATGATTATGGGCGCAATTGGTGGTTTTTTGTGCGCAAATTTAAAATAAAAAGGGCACGTCCAGTTGGAAAAAAAGGCACGTCGGCCAGTTTGAAAAAAAGGGCACGGCCTTTTTGGCCGTGAATATATCTTTTTTTGGGAGGGCACCGCGGCCAGTCATAGGGGCATCGACGGCCTGGCCGTCGATGGCCGTCGATTAATTTAAGGCCTGAATTATTGTAATATTGCAGCCAAAGTGCATTTATGAGGATGAACTGCACAACTACAGAATTATTGGGTGGGATTTGCTGCCTGCATGTACACCATACTTACTTACTTGCTTGGTTATACTTGGTAGATTAGCCCTCTTTTCCTAAGGGAAGGGCTCTCAATAGACTCTTTAATAAAAGTCGCCACTGTAGGTGCAGACACTACTTTTTTCTGGTAGGTTATTCCAAGGTTGGACCATTGAATGGGTTAAAAGTTTAAAACTGTTCTTATAATTTCCTCCCTGATTTCTGCAGGTCCATGATGACAGGATGGCTCTAGTGAACAGCATCTCAACTGATCCTGATGCAAGTGTAGGAGCTACTAAACTAAACATTCCCCCAGAATGGTAAGCCACATTAACCTGTATTAGCAAAAGATGATTTAATCTCAAATCATCATTTGATATATATGTAACATAAGCAGTAAAATGCAGGCACACTTCAAAGGATAAAGTTTTGCTATTTTTGAAATCATTTTTTTTTTCCCTTCAATCTATGTGTTCATGTTTGTTTTTCAAAAATAAAGAATAAATACTTTTTGTTTGCCTTGGTTTCAGCCTTTTTAACCATTCATGGTAAATTGGTGGTTTATTGACCATGGTTTAGGTACAAACTGTGAGTTTGTTCCTTCTGGAATATTTGGATCATAATAGTAAATCAAAGTTTACCAACTTGTAATTGTAAAGTTTGAAAATATGCCGTAGTATTTCCCAGTGTGTTTGTCTCAAATTGTGTAACATACAGAAAGATAAAATGCTTACAGCCTTGCAGGCATAAAGACAGGGCTAAATAACAGGTGCTTCAGAGCAGTTGACCCTCCACCAAGATTGAAGCATTTTTGTTTAATGTTTTAACAAAATAATTAATCCATTGATAGATTATTGTGACTGTGTGACCTCCTATTTTTGTAATATTTGTAGATTGACCCTGTACATATGTGTATGAACAATGAATACATGCTTCAAATTTCACTGTCTTTATCCAGTTTATATTATCATTATTTTTGAACAGCTTTACTTTCATCACTCATTTGAAGTTTCTGGAGGCATTTGATTGGAGCAAGAAGAGTAATATCAGTGTTATTTATCAATGGATTGATTTTTACTAAATTGCTAAAGTGGTATGTACAGTGTATTAGTTGTTGATTGTTTGTTTACATCACTCTTCTTGATTACAGAATAATTTCCTTTTGGATAGATATGAGGTCTTATTATCTTATATTTTATTTGTTTATTATTATTATTCAATGTTATTTTATCTCATTCTTTCTTTTATTTTCTGCAGGGTAAATTGCACAGAAGAAATTCAATATGATATCACAAGGATACAGCAGAAAGGCAAGTATTACATGTATTAAATATTCACCAAGAGGAATGAGAGCATAGCTTCTGTAAAATAATAAGAATTGATGATCTCTTTGTTGTCACATATTCATAGTTTTGCTATTTTTATTGAATGGAGAGGGAAAAAAGGGGGGAAAATGATTACCATTTTATTCAGGTATGTTGTAGACAGGGAGTATATATGTAGATTTACCAAATATCCCCTAATATTATAGGGGGTCTTTAGCTGAATGACTCTGTGAGATTAACATTGAACCATTCTCTCCCCTCCACCCCACCCCTCTCCCTCCAACCCTTATAAGGCATGGCATGACCCCCATGTTTCCTCAAATAAACGAACCCATAATCTACCCCCCCCCCCCCCATAAAAAATATTTTAAAAAATATATAAAAATAATAATAATACATTTTAAAATATACAGAAAATAATAATAATATAATGATGATAATGAAATGTATATATAAATTCAAAATAATGTCAAACTGACCATGTTTTTCATTATTTCACCTTGTTTAAGAATGTCCAAACTGAATCTGCCTAGACCAGAAATTCTAAGCATATTTATTTAAGGGGCCATTATTTCACTTTGAACTATTTTAGTAGTGTAGAGTCTCATGAAACCGATATATCCTGATACCAGTCACTTTTATTTCATTTGCGTTTGTTTTTCCATTCACCAAATGTGTCTTGTCAAGTTGCTAATCGTTGATATCTTACATCTTGTATTACAGTGAAGGAACTATCATCATTACATGATAAGTACCTGAACAGACCAACATTAGATGATAACATGGAGGAGGAACATGCCATTGAAATTGCCACTCAAGAAATCACTCAAGTAAGACGTTCTTTCTCTCTATATTCCTTCTCTCACTTCTCTGTCCGTCTCTTCTCTTTCTTTATATTTATACTGTGTCCTCCCTTTGTCTTGACCAGTCTTTGTTGCCTGGGCCCTGTCTTACAAAGAGTTGATATCAACTTATTTGCGATTGATATCAATCACAACTATGTACATAAGAGATAGAAAACTGCAAACTTGCGATTGAAAAGAGGACTTACGATTGAATTGGATCAATCGCAACTCTTTGAAAGACAGGGCCCTGGTCAGTATCGTGAAATCCCCGACTAAGGAACAACTTTGCATCCCAAAAAATTCAGGGAATTGACAATAGATTATATCAATTGGCAATAATGCATTACATTTTTTTTATGTGATTCATTTTATGAAAATAAGTGGACGTTTATTGATGTGTAACTGGAGCAGGATAAACAATGAAACATATATTTATGTTATCCCAATTCCCAATAATACATTTATTTTCTGTATGTCCTGCTAATGCAAAACCATCTTCTTTATTTTAAGCCACTACGCATTAATAGATGCATAATTGAAGGATAATGGATTAATGTTTTCCCAATGTTGCTATTATTATAAGATTAGAGAAAGTATTTGGGAATTGATTTGAGAAAAGATATTGTATCTTTGTAAGATGAACTAAGTTCTGCTTTAGGTATTGATTTTCTTTTTCATTGGCGTCATTGCCTTCCTGCATTTCTTACCCCCACCCCCTCTTTCTCTCTCTCTCTCCCCCCCCCCCCCCTCCCACCTTTTCTCTTTCTTCTCTCTATTTCTATTGACCTTCCTCATACTGTGTTAATTATCTGCCTCTTGCTCTATACCTACAGGCATATTCCTGTTGGCGTCATTGCCTTCCTGCATCTCTTACCCCCCCCCCCCCCCTTTCCACCTCTTTCTCTCTCTCTCTCTCTCTCTTTCTATTCACCTTCCTCTTATTGTGTTAATTATCTGCCTCTTGCTCTATACCTACAGGCATATTCCTGTTGGCGTCATTGCCTTCCTGCATCTCTTACCCCCCCCCCCCCCCTTTCCACCTCTTTCTCTCTCTCTCTCTCTCTCTCTCTCTCTTTCTATTCACCTTCCTCTTACTGTGTTAATTCTCTGCCTCTTGCTCTACATAATATGTACAGGTATATTCCTGTTTAATTATTTCTCCTCATTTTGCATTGTTTTCGAAAGGCAAGGGATGTAAATGATATGTATTAAGAAACCTTTGCAAAAATTGCAGTTTTATTAGACTGATTGAGAGAAATAATAATGTGCTTTTCTTTCACGATTCCATTTTCGTGCTCTGCAATGTTTGTTTTTTTGTTGCTTCCACTTTTGCTAATGCATATATTCTAATATACTCATTATTCGCTTTATCTTTATATTATATTTTTGTTTCCATAGATGTTTCACAGATGTCAAAGGTCAATCCAGTCAATAACAGCCAAAGCGAGACTATCCTCCAGGCAAGAAAGGAAAGTCACTCAGAATATTGTCAATTCTCTAGCTGGCAGTCTCCAAGATCTCTCAATAACATTCAGAAAAAGCCAGTCTGCATATTTAAAACGTAAGTAAAAGTAACATTTCGATGTTACATATTTCTCCCCCGTATACGCAGATATGCTCACACATACTACAAAGCCCAGTGAATACACGCAAAACCTTTGTTGTCTGCAGTTGCCATGAGTTTACACTTGAAAATCCTCATTTTTTTCAGTAAAACCACGTCATATCTGAACAAGCATTTAAAGGGAACAGACAAGCAGGAAGAGAATGGTGTATTTCTGAACAGCATTTTCCATCCCTTCAAATGTTTGTCTAAAGGCATCGTTTAACAATGCCAAATCTGAGATCAATGGCTCTACGTGTTATCAGTGTCTGTGATATGGTGTAATATTGAAGCCCTAAAAAAATTGCACTTCAAAATGATTAAAAGGTGCCTTCAAAAATAAAGATCTTTGAGAGACCGGTTTTACTATACTCATTTTCACCAATAGACTGTAGTGTAATTAAAATCGTTGGGAAACGGTTTTTGAGATTTCAAATTCCAATCATAAATATCTTGATAATCATACAGGCGATTGGCTGATTCCTGACTGACCTGAAGGTTTATAATTATGATTGCAGCATGAGCTAAATCCAGGATTTTGTTTAGAATCTGAGACTAAGATACCCAATCCCTTTAATAATCCTTTGCATCTTTTTCTTCACATTTCTTCTACTTAACAGGATTGAAAGGTAGAGAAGAGCGATCCAAAGAATTCTTTGAGAGTAACATCAATTTGAATTCCAGCAGTGCAATCATGATAGAAGAAGACGTGGAAGATGATTTACTTTACGATAGAGTAAGTAGCCTTCACGCTTCAGTGGGTTTCATTTTAAAAAAATGTATATTTGCTGGTATGGTGTTACAACTAGATTGCAAATTTTTTATGTTTTTCAAAAAAGCTACTGGGACTGTTAACTGCTTCTGCCAAATGATTTTTTTTTTTAAAGTTAAATATTGTTGTCTGATTGAATTTGGAGCAATTGCAAATTTGAAAATACATGCTGGTAGGTGTATGTGATCTGATGGAATGGAATAGCAACATGTATTGGATGTGTGATTCTATCATTTTCACCTCAATCACCTTGACATGGCAAAATATAAAACCACTATATGAATAGTAAAGGCATCTATGTTGATGTGAAAAAATAGTTGTGCATGTAGACCTCAATGCATAATTATTGATCAGTACTAAAGGTATACAGAAACATGTTTGTGACATGAACTACACACATTATTATATTTTGCCACGATGTCTTGTTTTGGGGCAGTGTGCTCCATAATGTTCAAAGGTGATTTTTATACAGTGAAACCTGTATATAAAGACCGCTTAAGGGAGACAAGAAAAATGGTCCGTATAGGCAGGTGGTCTTAATTTTTATTTTTTTATTCATTCTTACATATTTATACAGGTACACAAGATCAGAAATAAATCTGTTTTGCATCTTGGACCTGGTGTTAAAAGCACTGTATAAAAAGTAGCAAAAATAACAAAGTATAACAAAGTAAAATATACAATACATCATAGTAATACAAATATGGTAGCATAATAATTCAAGGCCTTAACAAAAATGATTCTAAATATAAATGAAGGCTACATACATGAATAACAATATCAACATAAAATAGTCATAGAAGAGTAAGGTTTCAGCTTAGAGGTTGAGGTAATTTCAATGGATTCGATTTTGAACTTTGTTATACAAAGTATAACAAAGTATAACAAAGTATAACAAAGTAAAATACACAATACATCATGATCATAGTAATACAAAATAATACAAAATATGGTAGCATAATAATTCAAGGCCTTAACAAAAATGATTCTAAATATAAATGAAGGCTACATACATGTATAACAATATCAACATAAATAGTCATAGAAGAGTAAGGTTTCAGCTTAGAGGTTGAGGTAATTTCAATGGATTCGATTTTGAACTTTGTTATACAAAGTATAACAAAGTATAACAAAGTATAACAAAGTAAAATACACAATACATCATGATCATAGTAATACAAAATATGGTAGCATAATAATTCAAGGCCTTAACAAAAAACAAAGTATAACAAAGTAAAATACACAATACATCATGATCATAGTAATACAAAATATGGTAGCATAATAATTCAAGGCCTTAACAAAAATGATTCTAAATATAAATCAAGGCTACATACATGTATAACAATATCAACATAAAATAGTCATAGAAGAGTAAGGTTTCAGCTTAGAGGTTGAGGTAATTTCAATGGATTCGATTTTGATTTTGATTTTTTTTCCTTTTCTTTCTTTTTGTACAATAATTTGAAAATTTCTAGAGACTGAGCATTTTGAAAGTTATTGGGTAATAGATTCCATACTTTAGCACCGGCATAATTTAAAGGCTGACAATAAAGTTGAATGTTTGGTTTAGGCTGCACAACATTAAGGGAATTAGCATTACGCATATTCAGTCCCATGTCTATCGAAATACATTTCAATCTCATTGTATAAACGGGATGAGGCAATACCTTGAACACATTGGTACATCAGTGCAGATAAGACCAGAAGTATCAATATAATCATAATTACCGGTTACGTGACGAGCTGCCCCTTTCTTTTGGAGTCTCAATAGGGGTAATTTCAATTTATTAGGACAGTAAGTAACCCCAAACTGAGACATCGTAATCAAGACAAGGTTGAATAGTAGATTTATATATAGTATTCAACAGTGTCATGTTTAAGAATTTTCTGAGGCGATAAATCTTGTATGCAACTGACTTACATAACTGTCTTAAATAATCATTCCATTTCAGGTTTTCATGAATAATAATACCTAAATACCTTATAGAATGGACTTGCTCAATGAATGCATGGTCAATATAAATGTTAAGACATACTGATGACTTAGTCGCAATAAGTATTTTTTTGGTTTTACTTATATTTATTTATCTAAGATGGTTCCTATTATACCAACAATTTAAAACATTCACTGTATTTTGTAAATTAATAGTAACATTATGAACATTTTCACCAGTAACATAGATAACCACATCATCAGCATACTGCATTATTAATACCTTCAGATATATCATTGATAAATAAGAAGAAGAGGACAGGAGCAAGAACACTACCCTGTGGTACTCCAACTAATAATTCCTTTATAGCTGAGTTCTTACCCTTGGAACAAACTAATTGTTCTCTTCCAGTGATATAATTAGAAAAACATTTTAACTCTTTATCATAATATGCCATATTTCTCTAGTTTAAATAAGAGTAAATCATGATCAACGCAGTCAAAGCGTTTGGATATGTCAAGAAAGCATGTTTCAATGAATTCCTTATTATTAAGGGCTTCATGAAATTGTCAATCACACGGTGAAGGCAGGTAAGTGTACAATGATGAGGGAGAAATGCATACTGGTCTACATTTTCATATCGTGTTCTTTCAGATAATTAAGTAATTGTAACTGAACTTCCTTCTCTATTACTTTATGTACAGGTTCCTTTAGTACAAGTTTCAATGAGAAGCCAGTTTCAAGGGGGAAACAAAATTGTGTTTATTGACAGGTGGTCTTTCTATACAGGTGGTCACTAAAACCAGGTTCGACTGTACGTTACATTGTGATTTTCATTGTATTTTTGCCAGGGTTTCACGGATGATCAAATGCAAGCAGTAGAAGAAAACACCCAGGTTATAGAGCAGAGAGAAAAGGAAGTGTCACACATAGTCCAATCCATATCAGACCTGAATGAGATCTTCAGAGATCTAGCTAATATGGTGGTGGAACAAGTAAGTAGTGCACCCAGGAATTTGGGCCATTTTTTCTCTGCATTCAAGTTTTGTTATTACGTACTGTCACTTTGTGTTGCGTTCACCTCATTTTTCTAAGGCTTACTAAGTTTCTCATCCGCACCGTGACTGCCGTGAGAATTTTCTTGACAGTTCTGGCCCGGTATCAACCGCAATCAAAATATTGTATTGCTATACAGTGCGTCCCAGAAAAAACGAAACCGAGAAGTATTGATGTTCTATCATAACTTAATCACAACTATAATTAATGAATGATACATATTTGGAAAGCTTAGAGTCTCTTCTTTCATGTGATGCTACTCAGATGATGCATATGTCACGCATGAGTGATTAAAAGCAATTTGAAGGAATTTAACCGATAAGACAATTGGCGGGCGGTATCTGAATTTCGAAGAAAAATTCACATTCCTAGAAAGTTGAGTTTCTGCCCTTTCATATGACACCTCAATCAGGAAAAATGAGCGAGGAATGACAAAGTTCTGTTTGTTTAAAGTAGTGCTTGCATTTCCATAATTTTATTAAAGAATTCGTTTTCACTGGCTGCCCGCCGTATCAATAAACGAAATTAACAAAAGACTTAACTCCGTTTCGTTAACAATCAGCCGTAGACGAGAGTCTTCGTGCATGGCTGATTGTCAACGAAACGGAGTTAAGTCTTTTGTCAAATCTGCTTTTTGCTACGGCAGGCACCCAGTGAAAACGAATTTGTTTGTTAAAATTATGAAAATGTAAGGGCTACTTTAAACAAACAGAACTTTGTTATTCCTCGCTCATTTTTCCTGATTGAGGTGTCATATGAAAGGGCAGAAACTCAACTTTTTAGAAATGTGAATTTTTCTTCGAAATTCAGATACCGCCCGCCAAATGTCTTTTTGGTTTCCTTCCTTCAAGTTGCTTTTAATCACTCATGCGTGAAATATGCATCATCTGAGTAGCATCAACTGAAAGAGGAGACTCTAAGCTTTCCAAATATGTATCATTCATTAACTATGGTTGTGATTAAGTTATGATAAAACATCTATACTTCTCGGTTTCGTTTTTTCTGGGACGCACTGTACAGAAGTTTTCTTACGTTATAATAAACAAAATAAGTGAATTATTTTAAGTATTTGAGTGTACGGGATGGCCCTGAAAGGTCACAAAAAAACATCATCATCATCATCATCATTGTTATATAATTGATTATCAATCTTGATTTTTTTATGTTTATTTATCAGGGTACGGTTCTGGACAGGATAGACTATAACATAGAGAAGTCAACGGTCAAGGTGGAAGAAGGCCTCAAACAACTCCAAAAGGTAAACTTTCTCAGATACTTATCTTGGTATACGGTAAAGACAATCTTGCAGGTGTAATAGAACACTAGTCCTGCAGGTTCTAAGACACATTCTTCAGCGACAATTGCTCTACAGTTCAATTTCCTACTCAAACCAAATTTCTAATTCATACTCTAGACAAAACTAAATACCTAATCATGGCCCTAAACCTTACCTAAAAGCCAGTTGCAAGTCTAATACAAATATAAATGTCTGGTCACTATCCTGTAGTATAGATTTATATATTATATATATATTATACTATGAACATAACGGGCAAAGAAAGCAGACAAAATATACAGTTCCTCAGGTAGACAAAGGAACATCCCTTCACTGCTATTATGTAAAAAGTGAATATGCATGTGACACCTATTCTACACATTTTTACATAATAGCAGTGAAAGGATGTTCCTTTGTCTACCTGAGGAACTGTATATTTTGTCCGCTTTCTTTGTCAGTCATATTCATAGTGATAATGACCTCAAGATGTCTGGTTCGGAAAGGATTTTTATGAATATAAAGTCTTCTCCCAAACCAAGCTGAATGTCCTCCCTCTCTAGCATGTCACTCTCTGTAAAGTGTATGTAGATACCCCCATGCTTGATACAAGATAGCTGATATAGTAATCAAAGAAGATTGTTGTAATATTGATCATTCATTATTTAATTGCAATGTGAGATATGATCTTGATCTTGCCATGATTACGAAATTTCTTCCCATCATCTTTTGACAGGCTGAAAAGTATCAGAAGAAGAACAGAAAAATGCTGGTGATAGTAATCCTCTTTATCATCGTCATCATCCTCATCATCATCTTCATAGCAACCAAGTTAAGATGACATCACTACTCATCATATCATCATAGCAACCAAGTTGAGATGACATCGCTACTCATCATATCATCATAGCAACCAAGTTGAGATGACATCGCTACTCATCATATCATCATAGCAACCAAGTTGAGATGACATTGCTACTCATCGTATCATCATAGCAACCAAGTTGAGATGACATTGCTTCTCATCTTATCATCATAGCAACCAAGTTGGGATTAACTTGATACTAGTCTTATCATCAGCATAGCAACCAAGTTGAGATGACATCGCTACCCATCATATCTGCATAGCAACCAAGTTGAGATGCAGTTGATACATGTCTTTTGTCTTATCATCTTAGCAGTCAAGTAGAGGGGGTACTGATACTTATTGAATCATCACAGCAATCAAATTTAGATTTGTTATGGCAGATCAACTTTTCAACTGTTAGTAGAGATGACATTTCTACGTACAGTACTTGTAACAAAATTTATAAACCAACGAATTGAGAATTTCCAGTAAAGATGTTGTATTTCACTAGGGCTGCAGGCTGGGGTTGAAATTTGCATGAGGGAAATTCTAAATTTGGAGGTGAAAATATGTTTACAGAACAACCTTATGTATCCAATATAATAAGATTTAGAGTATTTGCGATCTGTCACCTTTTTTTTCTTCCCCCTTATCCCTGGTAATTACATTCTGTAACCTTCCGCATCAAATGTGCATTGCTTACACATTAAAAATCATGTGTAAGCGCAGGGTTGCTTGGTAATGCGGTTCGGTACATAATACGCTTCTTGTGATAGAATAGCTACAGTATACCTAATCTGTTGGGTTATACTCCCCCTCTACTTCACCATGAGCTCTTTCTATAGGTGCTATCCCATCATACTGAAGTTCATGTTTTCATAGTGGACTTTATCACTTGGGTTATTTATGATATTCTACCTATGATAATTAAACCCTTATGAAAGCTAATAAATCTCAGTGAGTTGATCAGGAAGACCCTTGTCCTTTTATTCAGTAAGGAACTGTGCTTTGTCCATTCATTGTATCATAACCTGAATTTGGTCTATGATTTTTGTGTGCTAGCATCAGATGTTTTGTTATTTTGTTTTTAAGGAAAAGAATGAATCATTTTGTATTCTCACATTATATGTCATTTGTATTCAACAATTTATTATTTAGCTGGAATTGAAATTGAGAAACATAAGAATATGGAAATTCAATATTAGTATAGAATAAGAAAATTTAATAAATTGATTAAAGGGATAAATATGTGAGCTTATGGGTGACTGAAGATGAGGGAGGCTAATACAATCAAACTTCTTTCTATTTTGGTGCAAAGTATACCGCGGCATATGTAAATGAGCTATTAGAACTCCCAATGATGTTTAGCAGGCAAGTTTACTAGTCACTAAGCAGCAAAACAGTGCTTATGCCATCAGAACAATGCTCATCAGCTTTTGTTTGAAATGGCTTCATTGTACATTTTAAGTCACAAAAGGCGGCCGACTCACAATGGCTGATAACCTTGTACAGGAAAAGAGAAGCCATGTAAGAACTTGTGCTGAAAGTGTTAATTCAATGCACATACATGTACATGCATTTATATGCTCGTGCGCTAAGCGTAACCCTGCATGATATATATACAAATCATTGGTGCGTGTATACATACATGTATGTTCAGGTTCTAAAGACGGTGTTATGCAAAAGTTGTCTTTAAATATTATTGATACCCAACTTGATTCAATCAAGTTATGGTATATAGCCTGACACAATAGGGTTTCATTCTAATTTCTCTTTTCTTAGCTTGCTGATGTATCCCACTTCAAATGGACAGCAAAAACGTGATCAAAAGCATGCAGGTTGAATACAGTCTATGTTAGTTGATTGCAATGTCATCGAAGATTGAATGTATCTTGCCTTTTATTTTCCATAAAAAGGTACTCTTGTCTAATTTGGTTGTTTATGATGATCGATCTTATGAAATGTCTCTTATCGTTCCGTGATTATTTGATTGACTTATTTCCAAAGGGGTTGTATATACTATGTATATCTATGTAAATTATATGTGTATATTCTATGTTTCAATATCTAAATTATATGAACATGACAGAAGCATTCCGATTAATTGAAAAAGAGTTCAAAGAACTAAGCTTTTTTTATCTGTGAAATGGAATTAATGTTTTCCATACTTAATGTTCATTAATTTATTGAGCAGTTTAATAAAAATAAAACAATATTTTTAGGTTTCTGTTGTGGTCACTTGTCAGTGCCAGAAGCTAGATAGAACAAACAAAAAACAGAAGTGTTTGTAACTTCTATAAAAAACAGTCAAAATTATATCCGGTGAAAATTTTCGACTTAGTTAGTGATATATTGAATGAGAAATGAGTTGAGTTGGCAGCGAATTGTGTCTTGATAAAATAATACAACATGTGTAAGAGGTTTTTTATTTAAATCTTCTTGATAAAACTTTCTCCCCAACCTTTAGTACAATGGAATCATAAACAGTTACTGTGTAAGTGGCTTTTTTAATCATAAAGAGACCTAAAATAGAGGGATGTTTTTTTTTATGTTGCATATTATTAAGTATTCTGATCCTGTATGCAATATGTAATATTTTATATATTCCCAAATGGATTTAAACAATGAAGTATCTATTAACTGAGTGATGACATAAGGCCCACCAATATTGCCAAATTAACTACCGATAGATATGATATGATAGATCTGTAAAGCGCTTAGAGACATCATAGATGTATTAAGTGCTATATAAACGCAGAATTATTATTATTATTATTATGATTGCTAACTTATCTAATGATGGTATCTTGATTTCGTAAAGGAAATCTGTATCCAAACAAAATACTATGAATTCGTGAACAACTTATGTACTCAACAAAAAGATAGCCATTTGTGAAATTTGTGTTAGATTCTTTGTATGTAGCAAATCTTTGTCAAGTCAATTGTATGTCATGAGTGTATAGCATATTGCAATAGATTATACAAGTGCAAGTACCGATAGCTGAAATTCGAGACCTGGGACCCGTTTCACAAAGCCTTTTTTCAATGACAAATGACAAAACCAGTGACAAATCTGCTGATAACCAATCAGAAGCAAGGCTTTCAGTAGCTTATAACAAAAACTGTCATTTGTCACTGATGAGAAGTTTTGTGAAATGGGGCCCTGATATACTGTCCTAAAAGCATGTATGACATATTATCTGGTGTTACCAGAGCTGGAGATGACAAGTGGCGGTGAATTTTCTTGTTATTGTTGCCACTATTTCTCCCTCGATCAAAGGGAGGAGGATACTTGATAACTCAGTGGGAAAGCAATGGTCTTGTAACTTGGAGATCTTGGATTCAAGTGCAAGAATGCATGAGTGAATATGCACTGCACACACGTTATGTCACAAAAGGATAGTGAACGATACTTGTCAACTTCATTGTCTGTCTCGTGGCGACTTGACCAACCAAGTGCAGTGCATATCACTGCACTTAAAAAACATGTGTAAAAACATGTGATGTTGTTGTTGTTATAAGACATGATGCTACAATATTAGTATAATGTCGAGAAATTGACCCAAAACCCAATAATGGGGGGTTAACACTTTCTAGACTCTCTTAGTGGAGAGGGTAGGAGCACAAAAAGTACCTAAATTATTTTCCTGGGAATCCCAGGAATCCCCAGACTCCCAAAGGAGGTCTACCAGCACCTTTTATCCTCTAAAGACTTTTTCTCAGGTTTTGTTTTCCTCACTAGGGGGTTGCAACCATTATAGACCCCTTCCCCTGGATCCATCCATTGGAGAAGGTTCTATTCTTCACCATGCACATCCCATTGCTAATTTTAAGAATCATTTAACAGTCAACCTGCTTTAGTGACCACCTGTCTACAAAGACCACTTTTTGTGTTTTCCTTGGGCGGTCACTATAACTAGGTTTGACTGTATGAAGACTCATTGATACAGAAACAGAACTAAGTTGAGATGTGCACATATTTTTTTTTTTTTTTTGGTGATATACTTATTTTGGGGAATAGATAAATGATTAATGGAGAGGGTATTTGTTTATTGGTAGTTCAGGGATATGAATGTCATATTCAATGAGAATGGTAGCCATTGTGTCTACATTGTTGAGTGTATAATTGTTGGAAGATATACTGAAAGTTTAGTAGCTAATTTATAATAAAAAAGCATCACAACTTCCATGTATGAGATCGGGAACATATATTTTAACTCTAATACAATTAAGGTGTGGAAAGTTATCAGGAGGAATTAATGTTATGTATTGAGTAAAGAAGAGTAAAACCATTTACAAACTGAATCGTCCCGTTTATTTTGATTGAGTAAGTTTCAGAATATGAGCTGAGAGTGAGAGACGGAGAGAAGGAAAAAAGGAAAAAAAGATAGATTATTAACAGAAATATGAAAAGGATAACGAGAGTAGTGGAAGGAGGAGAGAGGAAAGTACAGAGGCTTTATATAAATGTAAAATCTTTACTTTATTAATGAGAATTGAAGTGTCGATTTTTAGAATATTATATATATTAAAACTGCATTAAGAAAAAAATGAAATAGCTCAGCCCAGGAGATATCATTCCGAGAATTTTTTGTTTTGTTTTATATATACATATATATTTTGGCGTGCCTATATTGTATAAGTCTCATAAATACGACACTACACAAGTAGGGAATACACAACTTGAATATGATTAGTTTTCAGACAAATGCATGTGTCGATCACCAGGTGTTTTTCATGATTGTTTATCTTGATACTCCAAATAACCACTTAGAGAGCAATGTAAACTTCATCAAGTTGATTTGAAGGAACACAGACAACAGCTTGGTGAATCCCGTCGGCCCTCCCTTGAGGCGTTCTTTTTTAACCCCTAAAAATTCAATGTTGTCTCTGAGACCCCCTTGAATCCTCTTATGCATTATGCCGTATTTATTTTAAAATAAGATGAAATGATTTTTGATAGAATTTATATTGTTCATCTAAGCTCTGACATCACCTGAGTGTAAGGAAAACATACAATGGCATCAAAAGGAGACGCATATGACATACGGAATGTGAAACGATATGATACTGAAGGATTTTGCATTAAAATTTGAATAATACTGGTATTACTTATGAGTTATATTTTATTCACTGCCCTTGGAATGCCTGTTGGACATGCATTTATCTCGCCACACCTTGCTTATTTCACACAGCTCGAAACTAAATTAAGCAACTTAATATCAATGGAATAAAACATCTAAAAATGGTATAAACAAGTGTGGTGTATATAACCTTGGCTTTTATAACTTCAAAAAGGTGAACACAGATGTCATGTTAAAACGAATTAAAAAATACAATTCTTCAGATGCATAGGTACCAAACACAATTTCCACGAACTACCATTTAAAGTCACACACACACACACAACACACACACCACACACCATCACGCGTGGGGAGGAGGGGGGGGGTATGGCTAAGAAGTAAAACATCAAATCACTCTCTTTATGTTATATCAACGGTTTTCTCTCATCTCAAGCGTAAACAAAACATTCTTAAGGATAATATTACTCTGGGCAACGACAGGTGGAGAACGCTTTGATTTTAATTTGAACTCGAAAATAAAGGTTTTCAGACAGAAATATATTAATTTACAAGCATTTATTATTGGTTGGCTACTCATAGTAATTTTCTCCCAAATACATCTAAGAATTTCAATAAATTAAAATTAAAATTAAAACAATTGTATCAGGCTTATAGCCCTACTGAAGATTAAATAAAGCCCAACTGACATTATTGAATGATGTTTTATGACATGTATGTTCTCTGTTCCCTGATAAAATTCCATAATATACGCCTATTTGTATGACGTAATTGGGACTTATCTCGGAGTTGCCCTTATGTGCACGCATTAATAAATATGCAAGTGGAATCCGTATAAGAAATAAGTTTACGACTTCAAACACACAGTAATAGAAGCAATATACTATTGAAATGTAATAACAACTAGAAAATAACTTGTTAGCGAGAATAGAATATAAAGTAAGTTGCCCAAATTACCACTTCCAGCAGGAAAATATTGATTGATTGTTTTTTTTTAATATGAGCACTTGTGAAAGTAAAAAAATATTCTTCCAAAGAAACACATACGTTACAGCAATATCATAATTCTTGAAAATTTGTGACAAACTTCAATTTTTGAAGGCAAAACATTGTGGCAATGGTACGATGTGATACATGTCAAGATTCTCTGTATAAATAAAAACAGCCTATTATAATGACACCTAAGTATTAACGATTAACAAATTTAACAAGAAAACAATAAATTTCAGATACATGTATTAGTGTTTTATCATTTTCGGGGTGAAGCAATTGCAATTACTCTGCAAGGAATAAGATCATTCTTTAGACCGACTGTTTTTATTCTCAAGGATATTTCATCAAATAAACCGAGATGAATGGACCAATGATTCAAAATACTAACTCGCTATTATGATTAAACAACTGAGCACTTTTTAAATGGATAAAGAAGAAAGAAATGTAGCTAACATTTATTTTTATACAATCAGTTCCTCGACTCTCAAGAAAAACCACAAACAAACGTGAAGAGTAACTACAAGATATGCATCCTTTCTTTCCGGCCTTCTCTCAGAATATGCTGGGTAAAAAATATTAAAAAACGTAAAAGAAAAAGAAGTGTGTGTGAGAGAAAGAGAGAGAGAAAGAGAGAGAGAGAGAGGGGGGAAGAGGGAGGGGAGGGAGGGGAGGGAGAGGGGGTAGAGAGATAGAGATGGGAAGGGAGATGTGGAGAGGGAGAGAGAGGGGGAGAGAAAGAGGGAGGCAAGGAGGGGGGAGAGAGAAAGGAAAGAGGGACGTTGAGGAAGAAATCGATACGGAGAGAGGGAGAAAGAGAGAGGGAGAGGGAAGAGAGAGAGAGAAAGAGAAAGAAAGAGAGAGAAAGAGAGAGAGAGAGAGGGGGAGAGATAGAAAGGGAGAGAGAGAGGAGAGAGAGAGGAGAGAGAGAGAGAGAGAGAGAGAGAATAGGAGGAAAGGAAATAAAGAGAGGTTTGTGTTTAATGTTAAAATTGATTTTATTGAATTTTATACAAACGATACAAATTAAACACAGGCGGACAAGTTGTCGGAACCTTATGGCATAATTCCTGGAAAACATAAACAAATATGTATTTCTTAAAGGGCAGCTCCGGCCTATTTGCAATTTTCATTGAATAAAATAGATAAAATAAACAAACAAAACAATGGAAGTTTCTTCAAATCAGATGAAAAGTAAGCAAGTTTGACTTTTAAAGTTTCGCATAAGTTCATGAAACAGTGTTGTATCACAAAGTCAGTAATGTGCAAACGAGCGAGTTTATGATGTCATTCCCTCATAAATTCTAAGAAAACTATAATTTTTCTGCTCTGGGAATATAAAACATGGCTTGAATCCACATGGAATATGTGCAAAATCACTATTACTGTAACTAATTCTAATGTAGAGGAGATAAATTATACAGGTGTGTCCAAGAAAAAGAAAAAAAGGGTAAATTTCATCTACAAAAAATGGGTCTGGTGAGGAAATGCCATCATCAACTCGCTAATTGGTATACAGCCTTTGCGATACATATCACTGTCTTGTGATATTATGCGAAACTTTAAGATCCAATTCCACTTGCAAATGGGTCGGCTTTGCCCTTTGAGTAAAATAAGATATGAGGTCAATTGTGATATTCCAAGGGATAATAACGTGTATAGGACACTAACTTTTTTAAGGGTGGTTTTCTAACGCATATCACAAGTCTAAATCTACCATCTATATAACAATGTCGTTACTATTCGGCCCTGATATAAGTTTTTAGAATGTTGCTTTGAGAGGCTAAAGAATCTCAAATATGTAAATTATGATACGAGTGGACAACCCTTTCCATTATTATTCATTTTATACCAAGATAATTGGCCGCATTTGATTTAGTTTGAAAGACTTAGAATGGGCTTTGCTCTAGGTTGCACTGGCGTACTGGTGGGGGGGGGCTAGGGGGCGCCAGCCCCCCCCCCCCTAAATAAAATTGAACCATGACTTATTTTCACAAGTAATGTATAAATGTTCGTGATATCACATGATTTTCAACAAAATGCTATAGTTTCTCCATTATTTCTTGCAAACTGACCCATTCCCAAATAGCCAGGAAGAGCATATGTTTTTTATAGTCACTAAGGGCCTTATAGTGGCCACTAACAGTAACACTAATTCCTTTCCAGAAGCTACTGTGCAAAGCACTGTCGGGAGATAACATGCTACCCACCACTCGGGCTGAGCATGCACAGATTTGCGAACGAGCGTTCCATACTTACATCATGGAACACTGCACATATACCGTTAAGGGGCCCAGTGGGGGAAATTGAATTCAGACAAGATTAAGAGTAGAGAACGGTACAACGAATCGTCTTCTTTCTCTAATAATTTAATGAAACGGCAAAGCAGGGGGTGGGTCTGGGAGGGGGTTCTGGCCCCTCCCAGTGTAAGAAGCATTTGCAATTTTAGAACCAAATTAGACGCATTTTCAGGCATATATGACGTAAAATTGCTTTCTCCTACCCCTTCCAAGAGTAGGAATATTTTGCAATTTGAGAACCACATTTGGCGCAATAATGTCCACCGACACTTCATGGAAAAAAAGAGGCCCTCTGATTAGTAAGAAGTTAGAGAAAAGTGATCTGTCACGTCATGAGACGTTGTATAAATTATGCTTTGATGCCGCACAATGCACAAAGACGGTGTTTATGTTTATTTGGCAACCCCCCCCCCCTTTTGCCAATGGCTGACAAAGGTGACCTCCCCCCCCCCCAAACGGAACAAAATGTCAAATTTTCAAATTTCGAGACCCCCCCCCCCCAAAAAAAGTGTCCGCTTACCCCCCCCCCCCCCCCCCCCGCTTATTCAGCGGCTGGCTGAGTTGTTGCGAATTTTTGGGCCCGATTTTAACCCCCCCCCCCCCCCCCCCCATGAAAAAATCCTGCGTATGCCACTGCTGTTACCGTTTTCAGTAAAAAATGCTCTGGTAAAAATGTTATATTGCTTTCACTTATTGTTAAAAGTTATTTTTTTATTGTATAATAATGTTGATATTTTTAGCGAACATAACTACCACGCAAGGTGCTCAAGGTGCTCTAATATTATCCCTACTCTCTAGGCTACCGATTTCGGTGCTTTATAGCATTCAAGGAATGTATTCCTTCCTACCAGTATACATCAGTGCCGCGGTGGCGTGGACTCGAACCACGAACCCTGTGATCACTCATCCCGACGACACCTCTACATTAATGTATTTTATACGGTTGCAATAAATTATGATTCTGGCATAAGAATATACTTTATTATGATCATAGTGAAGATATATTATTTGAAAATTGAATTAATAAAATAATCTTAAAATAAACAAACACAAAGTAATGCAATCGAAATTGCACCTTTTAATGTGTGTAACTTGCACAACATACCTATCCCAACCTGCGTACATGTTAGCCAATGACCTGACAGGCATCCTTTACTCCTTTATAAACAGCAGCAGCCTGTTCCTCGCTGAGTTCTTCCTCCGATATACCTTGGCTTCGAAGAGACTCTTTCATCCGAGGAACTGAAAATAGAAGAGATATAGAGACACACAGAAGGGCCCGGGAGAGAAGTGAGAGAGGGGGTAAGATGAAGGGAAAGACAGGGAGAGGGGTTAGAATCATAGACAGGGATAATTATGAGAGAGAGAGAGAGAGAGAGAGAGAGAGAGAGGAGAGAGAGAGAGAGAGAGAGAGGGTGATATACAAGGCAAGAGCGATGTAACATAAGAGATATTTTAGAAGACGGAGAGAGAATATTAATCCTAAATCACACTGAAAATACTGAATAAAGTTGCAATAAAGTAGTTCTTTTCATGAGATGATTGTGACAATATGATTCATTCTTAAAAGATAGAGTTTAACTCTTATCAAAACTTCATTATAAAGAGTGATCATTAAAGATTGATCCATAAAGTTCTGAGAAGAAATAAACTTTATCTATCAAGAATAAATCATCTTGTCCCAATCATTTAATGAAAAGAAGTTTTATTTAAAAATTCCAACATTATGGGCGACAGTGTAATGATATTCGAAATTAAACTTTGGAATTGTTTCCCAAAAATAAAAATGATGTTGTATAGTAAGCTCAACCACCTATCATTTGCGTATTGTACCCCCCCCCCCCCCCGCAGTGGAATATCACCTATTATATCCTGCATCAAATATTTATTGGTTTTGATTGGTGGACATAAATATATTAACCATTTTTAACCATTTTAAGGTTGCTCTGAAAAAGAACTATTATTAGGGGTACTATTTGGGAGTTTAATTTTAAATTTTTAAAAATGTTAAATATTTGTTTAAATTTGTTTTGATAATTTTTTGGAATTTAATACATTTTAAAATGTTAAAAAATTAAAAACAATTAAACTATGATTATTGTTTTATTTGTTTATTTTGATGCAAGATATAAAACAAATATACCCTGCCTTTTTTTTCTCGAGGTATTACAAACTATGGGCCTCGGTGAGTCCTATTGGAGTCACCTATTGCCTATAATTCAACCAGAACCTCTCAAGACAGTGTGGATATTTGTATACTGATACATGTACTCACCTAGTTCTCCAGATGGAATCGCGTTTACGAGTTTACACCCCTTCTTCAATACACTAACTGCGACAGGCACTGCCTTCTTGATCCACTTCCCAGCATCAGGCACTGCCTTCTTGATCCACTTTTTAGTATCATGTCCGGCTTTCTTGAACCATCTGCTCATACTATGACCAGCTTTCTTGAACCAATTATCAAGCATGATGTCACCGATTTTGTTTATCATCTCCTCGACGTCTGGGTCTGACATTCATGTTAAAGGTAATACAAAGTTTTGGGAAAGTTTGAAAATGGCCGGATAGCGATTCTTTAAAATGTTGATATATTTGGATGCCCCTGAGGATGTATTATAAGCACTGGAAAATTTAGCCCCTAAAACACTTCTGCTTTCGAGAAAATTGAATGTCAACATTTACCGGTGCTCCCGATATATTTTTAAATGGAGGCAGTATCACCAACATCTAGAGGCTTGCAGATTCTACCAAGATACACCTTCGTTTAAAATTTGAACCAAATCCCTTGAGAAATGTGGCTTCTCACTATGAACATGACTGACAAAGAAAGCGGACAAAATATACAGTTCCTCAGGTAGACAAAGGAACATCCCTTCACTGCTATTATGTAAAAATGTGTAGAACAGGTGTCACATGCATATTCACCTTTTTACATAATAGAAGTGAAGGGATGTTCCTTTGTCTACTTGATTTTGTCCGCTTTTTTTGTCAGTCATGTTCATAGTGTCTATAGAGTGCACACAAGCCATCCACAAAAATATGGCCTTTTACCCTATAGAAGACGGAACACTGGGGCAGCATCAACAAAAGTTATAGGTGTGTAGATTATACCCAAATACACCTCCATACAAAATTTGAAAGAAATCCGTCAAGGAAGGATGCAGTTAAACCGCACACTGAAGTGCACACAAGACATCTTTCAACATATGACCTTTGACCCTATAAAAGACGGAACACTGGAGGCAGCACCCCCAAAATATACCAATACACCTTCATTCAAAATTTGAACCAAATCCCGGGCCAAATCCCTTGAGAAATGTGGCCTATAGAGCGCACACAAACCATCCACAAAAGTATGGCCTTTTACCCTATAGAAGACGGAACACCGGAGGCAGCATCACCAAAAGTTATAGGTGTGTAGACTATACCAAGATACACCTCTATACACAATTTGAAAGAAATCTGTCAAGGAATGTGGCAGTAAGAGCGCACACAAGAATATGACGCGGCGGCGGACGCGGGGTAACGCTGCTGAATCTAGCATGAGGCGCTCTGCATTCGAGGAATTTCTTCCTACCGGGTACCCATTAACATCACCTGGGTGGAGAGTGGCCAATGTAGATTATGTCTTGCCAAAGCACAATAGTGCGGCTGGACTTGAACCGCGAACCACTCCGGTGACCTGCATGCAACCAAGCACATATAAATTAATGGGCGTTTGCCCAATACACTAAATGCCATGTTTTTGTAGATTTCTTTTCTTTCTTTTTCTTTTTTCTTGGTCTCTTAATTTTTGTTGAATGATGTTAATTTTTAAAAAAATACTTACCATTATCAATGAACTGACGATAATCCTCCTCTAGAGTATCTCCGTCATCTGAAACGAATATATTATTTTATCATTATTCGCGAGTATAATATCCCACTACTTGATAAGAGAATGAAACCAGCACTTTACCAGAAATTCACACTTTTCTTGATGATAATGCACATAAATCATTTGAAGCACTAATTGCATTCTTATCTTGTTTCGTTTTATTAAAGAATTCTATGCTCACACATATACATTCCATACTTATTTTGGAATATTTTTGTGTCAAATCGTGGCTAGTAGTGACTCCTTCTCGTCAAAGAACGGTTTTGAATTAGAATATATACCATGGTTGGTCCGAAACTCTGGAATAAACTCCCTCTACAAATACGTCAACTGTCGTCAACAGAACATTTAATTACAACTGAAAACTTATTTGTAACTTTCGTTGTAAATATTGCAATATTCTATTTACTATATGTTTAGGAGAATTTCGAATTTTGTTTTTTGTTTTTTGATTTTTCTTTTTTATGTCTGTTACATGTACTTTTCTCTAAGCGCCATTAGCACCGAAAGGTGGACCTGTGCGCTATACAAGTAGGCACTATTAATAGTATTATTGGTGATAGGCTTATTCCTGCTAAAAAAAAAATCGTACATTTTAGCATGATTTAACCCAAGCAGGAATCATAACAAAGCATATCACGTCTTATTCAGTGATGCAACCATCACCTCCTCTTCTCATCAATATGATCTCTCATTCTATCTCTATCTCTCTCTCTCTCTCTCTCTCTCTCTCTCTTTCTCTTTCTCTCCCTCTCTCTCTCTCTCTCTCTCTCTCGTTCTCTCTTCCTTTATCTCTCCTCCTCTCTCACTCTCTCTCTTTCTTTCTCCTCTCCCTCTCTCTCCACCTCTATCTCTCACTCCCCCTCTCTTATACCTCACTCAATCCTGGGGCGGATCCAGCCGGCGGCAGGGGAGGGGGCCAATTCATGAGAAAATATTTAGCCAGCCGGTGAATAAGCGCGGGGGGGGGGGGGGGGGGGGGGGTAAGGAGCACTATTTTTTTCTGGATCCGCCACTGCCCCACTCTCTTCCTCTCTTACCTTCTTGGAATCCATTGTTTTCTGTATGTCCTAATTCAGCCGTCAATACAAGAGTCGCCATCGAGCCAAGAACTCCGAGAGCAATCAGTATTATCCACTTCATGTTTCAATTATTCTGTATGATTCGTAAAATATTTATAAACATTTTTTTAAAGGCAGGTGTTTTCTGCATTTATTGAAAAATCAAATACAAAATGTTCAAAAAATAATAATTCTTAATAGCCTACTTTGGTTGATTTAAAGACCATCACCACTACTGGGCCAGAAGGGATTAAACCACACAGAGAGCCATCGAGGTCACTGTGACAGGTGGCTATCTCATTAACTCAGCTCTCATTTAACATAAGAAAAAGAGGATCATGGGGGACCAACAGGCACCGATTGGGGAAGTTTTCTATATAGAGGGAGCAAGTAGCTACAAGTATGGCAGTGTGCCTACAACAAATAAGTGACAACTTGAAAGTATGGACGTATATCAAAGAATCAAGATAAATGCAAAGGCCAACTATCATAAGCATATATCGATTTGCAATCAATAAAACTGTAACCTATATGTCTTTCTTCGTTTTGTTATCAATTGGCAGAATTCGCTAAGTAAGCTGAATATTATCGTCGTTGCATGAAATACAGTCAGTATTACAAAATGTTTTACCTAAAATTAGACTTTCAAAGGTCCTACGTTGCAATAAAATGAAACATATATACAAAAGAAATTCGAGAATATTTATACACGAAAGGCCAATGAAATCATTTTGCATAAATTATGTATAGCTCAGGCTTGGTGATGATTTTTTCTTTTGTTTCTTTATTTTGGTGTGATTTATTTTTTACTATATAGATCGCAACCGTGTTAAAATGAGATTTAAAAATGAATTAGAGTAATTTGACCAACCGAAACGGCAATATAGATCGGAGTTCGTCGGAAAAGTTCAGGATGTCAGGTCTACGTTTTCTGAATTAAATTTGAAAGCACATGATGAGATATTAACGTTCTTTATCAATTTACCTTTTAACAGCAGCTGTTGAAAGTTGTTGAAATTTTGTAAATTGTTATCAAGTTAGATCATCTAGATGATGTCCGGTTCGCTCTGCTGGTTCCTTTCGAATGCAATAAGGGGGGTTTTATAGTCGGTACAAGTGGAAAAGCATAGTAATTGATCACCCCCTGAAATAACAAGAGAAACTTCTTCTTTTTTTCTTCATGAAAAACGTTCGTCTACCAGTCTTTAGTAAATCAAGAGAACGCAGGAAGTTCGTCATCCATCATTGTTTTTAATTTCTTTGAAGTGCTTTTCAATCTTTACAACAAACACTTTCTTTATGTTGATTCATAAAGTAATCTATTGATTTCGTGCAGGTTTTTGTTATTTAATACTACAAATAAGCGTAGGCCCCTACTCCTTCATTTCACATTTCAATAAAGACGTTTAAATGCATCATTGTTCCTTATGTCTTTGAAGTGCTTTTTAAAGCTTTCTTTACAACTACAATTTCTTTATGTTGATTAATATATTGACTTCGTGCAGGAAAGGTGCACTTTTTGTTATTTGATACTACCAGTTAGAATAGGCCCCTACTCCTTCATTTAAATACGGACATTTAAACGGATATTGTTGTCAAAGATAATGATGAATAAGGGTATAAATTACAGCTCTCGGGGAGCCCTATAGTTTTGATATAATTAATTAATAATAGTCGCCACATTATATTCGGGGCAGTTTTAATCCACATTCGAACAGTGCAGTCTGTTTTATAGGTCCTATGTGATATCTTAACTGGTATAAATTATGCTGATGTCATTGTATTTAGTGTCAAATTCTTTGCTTGTTCGCTTTGCTCGCTCCCCAAATTTAGAGACTAGAAAGTTAATATGAGGGTAAAAGACTGCAGCCGATAAAAACGGTTCTAGGACAATTACCCCCTGGGCAATCTGGGCAATCACCCCCCGGAAATTTACCCCCCGGAAAACTAACCCCGAAGGACAATTACCCCCCGGAAAATTACCCCCCTGGAGAATAACCCCCCGAGGACAACTACCCCCCCCCCCCCCAAGGACAATAACCCCCGGAAAATTACCCCGGAGAATTACCCCCCCCCCCCCGAGGACAACTACCCCTGAGGACAATTACCCCCCGAGGACAACTACCCGAGGACAATTACCCCCGAGGACAATTACCCCCGAGGAGTACCCCCGAGGACAATCGCCCCCCGATGACAACTACCCCCAAGGAAAATTACCCCCGAGGACAACTACCCCCCCGTGGATAATCAGGATTCAATAGCAAAAGACGATCTGATACGTTGAGAGATGGCTACGAGCCTATAAGACCCCCTTCATGAACCCATATTCGTTCAAATACTTGCACGTTGTCTTCCTCGATACTAAACATTTCCCTTTAATACATATAACTTATACAACGGCAGTACGGCTGCTGATTCCCACGAAGGATGTAAGTTTTAGGTAATTGTCAAGCGCTTCTCAAAATGAATAGAAATACATTTCTCTTGAGTAGCGTTATTTAAACTTTTTGAGTCATGGTACCCTCTTAAGAAATGAAAAGTTTCTCCCAAATCCAAAAGTCTTCAAAGACTATCTATTTTGCAAGACTTCATGGGTGTCGATCCGGGGGGATGGATGGGGGATATATCCCCCCCCCCCCAATATTTCAGGTGGGGGGGGGGTGGCCTGTACAATCATTCCCCCCAAACAATTCACCATCAAAACAAAAATGAAGAGAAACATTAATGATGAGAGCCCGATGAGAGTAGTTAATGGTTATTACTCGCAGGATGATTATCAATATACACATTTTGCTATCTCATTTTCATAATACATACGTAAATGAGACATCTGTATATGAGACAAGAATAAATTGAATTCTCGCTCATACGGCTTCATCAGGAATTGATCAATTTATTCAATTTATTCAATCAACAGCATCATAGAAATGCAGTGCGCCAACTGCAAAGCCGCGAGCTAAATGTCAAGCGCGAAGCGCAAAAGTGCAAAAAAGAAGTAGAGAGTGGGAGAGAGAGATAATGAGAGATAGAGAGGATACAGGCGCGTTTGCAAGGGGGGGTCACCCCCCCCCCCCAAAAAAAAAAAAAGAGAGAGAGAGAGAGAGAGAGAGAGAAAGAAGAAAGGAAGAGGACGTAAGAAGAAAAAAGAGTCGAGAACGGTACAACAAATCGTCATCTTTCTCTAATATGTAATGAAACGTCAAAGCTTCGCGCTGGAGGGGGGGGTGGGGGTGGGGGGGGGGGGGGGGGGGAGGGGGGTGGGGACTGAATTCAGACAAGGATTAAGAGTCGAGAATGGTACAACGAATCGCCTTCTTTATTTAGTAATTTCATGATACGTCAAAAGAAACTGAATTTTTGACTAGAATTAAGAGTCGAGAACGGTACAACAAATCGTCTTCTTTCTCAAAAAATTAATGAAACGTCAAAGCTTCCGCGCTTCGCGCGGGGGGGGGGGGGGGGGAGGGGGACTGAATTCAGACAAGGATTAAGAGTCGAGAATGGTACAACGAATCGTCTTCTTTCTTTATCAATTGAATGAAATGTCAGAGCTTCCGCGCTATGCGCGGAGGAAGGGGAATTTCATTTAAACAAAGATTAAGAGACGAGAACGGTACAACGAATCGTCTTCTTTCTCTAATAATTTAATGAAACGTCAAAAGAAATTGAATTTAGACAAGGATTAAGAGTCGAGAACGGTACAACAAATCGTCTTCTTTCCCTAATATTTAATGAAACGTCAAAGCTTCGCGCGACAGGGGATGAACCATGGCCCTGGGAAGCGGTGTGCATAGCACCCGTGCAATTTTTTTGTATGATATATTTAATTTAGACTACATTAAGAAATTGTCACAAAGCCGACAGCCACAAAATTATGCTTTTTATTATTATTTTTTTTTTTAAATTTTCTTTCACAAAATCCTATAACATACCCGCGACACACGTGCGTGGTGCCATGCAAAGCTTGCAATATGCCAATCTATGTGTACAGTGATGATTGCAATTTTTGTGTTGACAATGGAAACCAGATTGCTGGAAACTTAATTCAGACAAGGACACGATACAACGGATCGTCTTCTTTCTCTAATAATTTAATGAAACGTGAAAGCTTCCGCGCTTCGTGCGGGAGGGGGGAAACTGAAAATTCAGACAAGAATTAAGAGTCGAAAACAGTACAAAAGAATCTTGTTTTCTTTCTCTAATAATTTAACAAAACGCCGAAGCTTCCGTGCTTCGTGCGGGAGGGGGGGGGGCTGCATTCGGGACTTGAATTAAGAGTAGAGAACGATACAACGAATCGTCTTCTTTCTCTAATAATTTAATGAAACGTGAATTCGAGCGGGATAGGCGAAATGATTTTCAGACAAGGATTCAACGTAGAAAACGGTACTACAACGAAATTTTTTATGACGTGACAGTTTTCGCGCTTTCGCGGGAGGGGCTCAGGAGGGAGACTGAATTTAGACTACAGGAATAAGAGTCGAGAATGATACCACGAATCATCTTCTGTCTCTAATGATTTAATGAAACGTGAAAGCTTCCGCGCTTTGCGCGGAGGGGGGGGGGAACTGAATTTAGACTAGGATATAGAGTCAAGAACGGTACAACAAAATTATTTATGAAACTGAAAGCTTCCGCGCTTCGCGCGGGAGGAGAGAGACTGAATTCAGACAAGGATTAAGAGCCGAAAACAGTACCAGGCCCAGGGGCGGATCCAGCCGGCGGCAGGGGAGGGGGCCCAATTCGTGAGAAAATATTTAGTGGCGAAACAACCGGCCGATAATTCGCATAGTGGGGGAGGGGGTGGGGGGAGGTAGTGAGCACTAATTTTTTTTTTTTTTGCTCCCGCAAATTGAAAATCGTGCCGGCCGATAATTCGCTCAGGCCCCCCACCCCCTCCCCCCTCCTGGATCCACCACTGGGGGGTGTTTCACAAACTTGATATCAATAACAAGTTACAAACTACTGTTACAAGCTACTGAAATCATGGCATCTGATTGGCTAAAGCAAATTTGTCATAGAAATCTAGCATTTGTTATAGATAATAAGTTTTGTGAAACGGGCCCCAGGTGTCCAAAATTTTCCACAAA